GAAAAGTTTGATAGATTTTGTAATAAAGCTGGGATAGCTCATAATTTCTCTACACCTAGGACCCCTCAGCAAAATGGTGTGGTAGAAAGGAAAAATAGGACTCTGATAGAGATTGCTAGAACAATGATAAATGAATATAGCTTGCCTAAGTTTTTCTGGGCAGAGGCTGTTAATACAGCTTGTTATATAATAAATCGTGCTCTAATCAGGTCCAAATTAAACAAGACACCCTATGAGCTGTGGAAAAATAGGAAGCCAAACCTAGGATACTTTCATCCATTTGGATGCAAGTGTTTTGTGCTTAACACTAAAGACAACCTAGGAAAATTTGACTCTAGGTCTGATGAGGCAACATTTTTGGGTTATTCGAATCATAGTAGAGCTTACAGGGTATATAACAAACGGACTCTCAAAGTTGAAGAGTCCATACATGTGGTGTTTGATGAATCTACTAGTAAGTATGCAGATATTTTCGATGAGGATGATGATTTAGGACTGGGACATCACTCCAGAACGAATCAAGAAGCAATTCCTGAAAGAGACATCACTACTGAAGCAGTACAGGATAGCAATCTGGAAAGAGACACTGAGGAAATAGCTATTCAAGCACCACCTCACATACAGAAGAGGCATCCACCCTCTCTGATCATTGGGGATTTAAACAAAGGTATGACCACTAGATCTCAGAATACTACTGTGCACACTGCCTTTGTTTCTTTGACTGAACCTAGAAATATACAAGAAGCACTAGATGATGAGTTTTGGACAGGGTCTATGCAAGATGAACTAGGATATTTTGAAAGATTAAATGTTTGGGATTTGGTACCTAAACCAGAAAACAAACCAATAATTGGAACCAAATGGGTCTGGAGAAATAAAACTGATGAATTGGGAATGGTTGCTAAAAACAAATCTAGACTTGTAGCTCAAGGATACAGTCAAGAAGAAGGCATAGATTTTGATGAATCTTTTGCCCCAGTAGCCAGATTGGAAGCCATTAGATTATTATGTGCTTTTGCTGCTTCTAAGGGCTTTAAATTATTCCAAATGGATGTTAAGAGTGCTTTTCTAAATGGTGAGTTGAAGGAGGAGGTGTATGTTGCTCAACCTCCTGGTTTTGAAAATCACAAGTACCCAGATCATGTATATAAATTGAACAAGGCTTTATATGGATTAAAACAAGCTCCTAGAGCTTGGTATGAAAAGTTAAGTAATTTTCTGATCAGTGATGGTTTTCACAGAGGATCAGTGGATAAAACTCTTTTCATAAAATCTGTTAAAAGTCATACAATATTGGTTCAAGTTTATGTCGATGATATTATTTTTGGTTCATCAAGCTCAAGTTTATGTAAAGAATTCGAAGCAACCATGAAAGGGGCCTTTGAGATGAGCCTTATGGGAGAGTTAAAACACTTTTTAGGGCTGGAAGTTAAACAAAATAACAAGGGTACATTCATTAGTCAATCAAAATATCTATCCAATATGCTCACCAGATTTGACTTAACTAATCTTAAGTCAGCACAAACCCCAATGGGATCAACTTCAAAAGTATCAAAAGATGAGAGTGGGGTATCAGTCGATGTTAGACTATATCGAGGAATGATAGGCTCATTGTTATACCTAACTGCCAGCCGACCTGATATTGTGTATAGTGTAGGAGTCTGTGCTCGTTTTCAAAGCTGTCCTAAAATGAGTCATCTATCTGCAGTGAAAAGAATATTTAGGTATCTGTCTGGGTCTAAGTTCTTGGGTTTATGGTACTCTAGGGATTCTAGCTTAGAACTTCTCAGCTATAGTGACTCTGACTATGCTGGTTGTGTTCTTGATCGTAAGAGCACCTCAGGCACATGTCATTTCCTTGGTACCTCTCTGATTTCCTGGGCTAGTAAAAAGCAGAGTTCAATAGCCTTGTCAACTGCTGAAGCAGAATACATAGCAGCTGGACTCAGTTGTACTCAATTGCTCTGGTTAAAATACCAACTTCAGGACTATGGTTTAGAAATAGGGTCTCCCTCCATTCTGTGTGATAACACTAGTGCTATAAATATGACCAAAAACCCCATTCAGCACTCCCGTACAAAACATATTGAGGTTCGATACCATTTCATTCGAGACCTAGTTCAAGATGGAAAGATTAAACTTGAATTTGTAAGCACAGACATGCAATGGGCAGATATTTTCACTAAACCTTTAGGAATAGAAAAATTTCTGTCTATAAGAAATGAACTTGGCTTATTTGTTCTCGATGAAATCCTTCCTCTTGATTTCCGGATGTCCTAAATCAAAATATTCTCTTTCCATCTCTTGAAATTCTTACTCCTCTACCTCTGATACACCTTCCTTTTCTTTAGATCCTCCTCTAGTATATAAGCATAGGGTTTCTCTGCAAAGCCAACGCAGTCCTTCAAACTTCCAAACACTTCTCTCAATTCGCTCAAAAATGGCTCCCACAAAGGCTTGAAGAATATGGCCGTGTACACAAAGGAGCATGCCAGTGCTTTTTAGTGCGCGAGCTGAGTCGATGAAGAAGCAAAACACGGGCTACATTAAGGAAAAACACAACCATGTTTCAGAACGTGCTTTTTATGCCGAGAGCGTATTTGTGGTGGCTGCTGAGTAGTCCAAAACACGGGCGCCATTGGAGCAAAACACGGCCGTGTCACTTCTTGGGCACGATCGTGTTTTGGGATCGATGTGGGCGTGTTCTCAACACCAAAGGCGAAACACGGCCGGACAAAAGCAAATCACAACCGTGTTTTGCCCAGTCTAGGGCTAAAAGGAGTTTTCAAGCCAAAGAGAAGGGGTTCCGAGTTTTAGAGAAAGGAAGCAGATACCTAAAGAGAGTGACGAACTAAAGTCTCCAAGCGCCCTAGATCGATCTTCATCACCATTGGAGCTTGGCTAAACTTGGAGAAGTGTCGATTGATTACAAGAAGCAGATTATCATTCTTTACAGCATGTTTTCTGCATCTGAGCTAGATTTCTCTTCTCTCTCTATGGAGTAAACTCTCTCACTCACCTGGGTATGAAGAACCCTAGATTTGTATGTTAGGTCTGATTGTATGAACCCGAGTACGAATTCATTGATATTGATTATATTCAATTGAGGATCTAATTATCTGAACTGCATGAATCCTGATCAAATTCATGTTATTCCTGCTTTGACCTAGAAAGAGAATATCTGCCTAGGTTGATAGAGCACCCTTGATTGAAGGTAGTGAATTGACGACTTTAGTCGAGGAGTCAATTCACTATTATGTACTGGATTTACTCCAGTAGATGAGGTTTGGTTCGTTAGGGCCTCAATCTGTCAACTCCGGTGGAGGTTAGTCGCCCGCTGGGGATTCAGATTGAGAGGGTCTGGAGACCTTTAGTCGAGACTGCAAACTGTCTAAGAACCTCCCGCAATATAATTATCATTGAATTTGAACTTGGCGAATTACAACCTGGCTTAACTGCAGTCTAGAGGGAACCATATCTGGGTGACCTCTGTCATTAGGTAACTTTCTCACTCTCTTCATATCATCATATGGACTCCTTTGTGCCTGAAAGTCATAGTTTCATGATTCTTAATATTGTTATTGATTTATGATGGTTCTTTGACAAGAAGTTCAATTATCATTGTTTATTATTAAGTCTTGATTGGTATATGGTGATATTGGCTTACAACTATCCATCTCTATGTTTGTTGTTAGGCGTGAATCAAGACTAGTGAATGAATTTGTGGATCATATTTTGAAGAATCTGACCCGTGCATCGCGTGGTTACTCGAATGGTTCATTGGGAATCGAGTCAAGAGTCAGACGAGTTAAAGCATTGTTGCATATGCGGTCTTCAGATGTTCGTTTTCTGGGTATTTGGGACATGGGTGGTTTAGGAAAGACCACTATTGTTGAAGCTGTTTTTCATTATATCTTTGCTCAATATGAAGGTTGAATCAAAGCGGCATGGACTTGTTCATTTGAAAGGATGACTACTGTCAGAGATATTTGAGGATCAAAATAAGCATTCCTCCACCATGATCGCAATAGGATCTACTTTCACCGTGGATAGGATCAAGCGTAAAAGGGTTTTGTTTGTTCTTGATGATATGAATGATGTGTCTCAATTGGAATTCCTTATTGGGTCCAATGACCTATTTGGTCCTAGAAGTAGAGTCATTTTAACATCAAGAGATAAGCAAGTGCTCAAGAGCTGGGTGGATGAGCATGAGATGTACGAGGTTGAAAGATTAGATCATGACGAAGCCCTTCTTCTCTTCTGCTACAGAGCTTTTAAGAGGAACTGCCCTAAGGAAGATTTAGTGGAGAAATCTAATAGGGTGGTTACTTATTCACAAGTGTTTGAGCCTAGAATATTCTAGGCGCTTTGTGGAGAACGAGCAGGGCGTCTGTTCCAGATGATGGGGGACTCCAAACTCCTGCAAAACAAGGGTCCGTGGGCGGTCACCCCGGACACCCTCCGATGCCTAAGTTAGAGATAGAATAAGAGATTTTAGTTATGTTTAGAGAGAGAGAGTAGTTGGCTTACCATCAATGCTGATATGAATGTATTTATAGTAGATTGGCCTGGGTTCTAAGCATTAAATGTTATGTCAGACGCCCTAGAGCAGCCCTTACTTTATCTAGACCGCCTGCGGCGGGCAATTAATGCTTAGTCCTGCAGTGTTCGAGGCAAGTATCCTAGGAGGATCTCCTTAACCTGTCACCAACGACTCTTTGTGTCAGGCGGCCTACTCTCTGTCCCATCATAGAGCGATCGCCTGCCTCTCTCCTTTCCCCACGCCTGCTCCTTCCTTGGGCCTTTGCTGGGCCTCGCTTTTAGCTCCTCTTTCGGGCCCTTTCTACTAAACTCTCCATGGGCTTCAAGCCCAATATCGCTCAACTATGGGCCTAACAGAAACCCATTAGTCATTAAATTTTTAGGCTCCTTCTTTATGGACAGAACACAGAGATTTTGGGAAACTGCGCTGGCTGAACTCCAAAGAACTATTCGGCCAGAAATTTATGATGTATTGATGATTAATTGATGCATTAACTTTTGAAGAGAAGAGCATATTTCTTGATATTGCTTGCTTCTTTAAAGGGGGAAAAGATTGATTTTGTGAAGGGAATACTAGATGGCTGTGGTTTTGGGACAGACGCTAGGATTTATGTGCTCACTGATAAGTGCTTCATTACTGTTTCAGAAAACAGGATATGGATGCATGATTTATTGCAAGAAATGGATATCGAGATCTAGGTAAACGAAGTAGATTATGGAGGCCCAATGATGTCTATCGAGTTTTGACAAGAAATCAGGTACAAGTATTTTTGTTGATTCGTTATTCCCTGTCTCCAATTCACCTCAGAAGCACCACATGCAGTTACACGGTTTACCTTGTTGATTTCCCCAGGGAACTGAGCAGGTTGAAGGGATCTTCTTAGACGTTTCTGAAATCAGTCACATGGAGTTGAGTTGTCAAGCATTTTCAAGGATGCATAATCTACGGTTACTGAAAATTTATAATCATGGGGCCAGGGATGGATCATATAAGGTCCGCCTCCCGTTTGGGCTAGAGTCCCTTCCAGATGAGTTGAGGTATCTTCATTGGAATGGATATCCTCTCAGCACTTTTCCATTTAACTTCCGTGTTGAAAACCTTGTTCACATTAACTTGACTTATAGCAACATTGGGCAACTGTGGGGAGGAGTGCAGGTATATTTCAACTGAATCGCTAAATGTCGCCCTAAGAATTGCTAAACATCGCCCTAACTTAAATCTAAAATTACTCATATGCCCTTAAACAAAAACTCAAAATGGGCTTAACCAAACAAGCCCTTAGCAAAAAAAAAAAAAAATTCTCCTTCCTCCTCTCACCTGCTACCCTCACCCGCCCTTTCAAAAAAAAAAAAAAAAAATTCTCCTTCCTCACCCGCGACCCTCCTCTCACCCGCGACCCTCCCCTCTGCAACCCAACCCGCCGCCGACCTCCCCTCCTCCCCTCTGCAACCCAACCGCCGGCGACGACCTCCCCTCCTCCCCTCTGCAACCCAGCCGGCGACGACCTCCCCTCCTCCCCTCTGCCACGGACCCGTCGCCGCCGGCCTCTTCGCGTTGCCGCCCGCCCGCGCCAGCCTCGCCGGACCTCGTCGAGTCGCCATCGTCGCCAGCGCGCCTCAGCCTCGCCGGAGAAGAAGGAAAACGCCGGAAAAAAAAAAAATTGCCTGACCGCGGTCAACACGCGGTTGGACCGGCGGTCAACCGCGGTCAACGCGCGGTTGGACCGACGGCTGACCGCGGTCAAAGCGCGATTGACCGATGGTCAAACCGCGCTTTGACCGCGGTCAGCCGTCGGTTCAACCGCAGGTGATTTGCGGTCCAGCCATGGTCCAACCGCAGGTGATTTGCGGTCCACCCATGGTACAACCGCATGTGATTTGCGGTCCGGCCATGGTCCAACCGCAGGTCACTTGCGGTTGAACCATGGTCGAACCGCAAGTGACCCGCGGTTCCCATTTTCTGTGTTTTTTTTTTTCAGTTCATGTTTTTACCTCGTCGGAGTCGCTACTCATGATTCAGACGTCCTACCGACGATATCGGCTTCAAAATGACTATGAGAGATTTTTCTCTCCTTAGATAGTGTTTTTTTAGTCCAAGTGATGTTTGTTTGAGGAAGGGAAGGTAAAGAAGCTAAGGAGGTTAAAAGTGTAACTTTGATTCTTTTTAGGGCGACCTTTAGCAATTTTAAGGGCGACCTTTAGCAACTCCCTATTTCAAAGTTGATAATGTCTTTGTACATCTCATTCCTGGATGAATTGTAGTCCACTTGCTAATCTTTTTCCTGTTGTGCTACAGGCTTTGGTGAATTTGAAAGAGATTGACCTAAGTGATTGTAAGAATCTAAATGCCATCCCAGACATGTCTCAAGCATTAAATGTTGAGATTGATCAGAAAATTTTCCGGCCAAAAAAAAACTCTCTCTCTCTCTCTCTCTCTCTCTCTCTGAATTCCCCTGGACAAAATAATGGCGCATGGGCCATGAGGGGGACAATTCCCCTGGGCGGCAATTAAAATAATTGCGCGGGCGCGGAGGCTCCCCTGGACGACCGCCGGCAATAACGACGGAGACGGGAGGCTCCAGACGGAAAAGCAGTCGGCGGTAGGGACGGGGAGGGGACAGTGGAAAATTAAAAATTAAAAATAAAAATAATTATACAATTACTACATTGCCCTTCATTAATTTGGATTGATTAGAGCCATTAGATTTTAATGAGGTGGAAGGGCTGAGATTGACTTAGTCATGTGACTAAGGCCCCCCCTCTTAGTCACCTGATCCTAGCCCCCAAGCCATATATGTAAGTTGAAATCTCTTCAGAAGCTAAATCTTTCGGGTTGCTCCAATTTTGAGTAGTTCCCAGCTATCAGGGAGCCTATGAAATCTTTTAGATACCTTTATCTAGATGGAACTGCGATACACAACTTTCCTGTGGTAATTGACTTGGAGAACTTGGAGAACCTCTGGAACTAGGAAACTGCAGAAAACTAAGCCTGCGGCACTTACTATATTTTGTAAATATTGCTGGCTGGTGGAATGCTACTTCAAATTCCTTGTTTAGGCTCTCTTTAAATGATTGCAATATATCAATAGCGCCTGACGACCTCTGTGCCTTGACCTCACTGGAAGTACTGGGTCTAAATGGAAATAAGTTTGAGCGCCTACCTTTTGGCATGAAATGACTCTTTCAGCTGCAACAACTCAGTGTAAAGAACTGCAGAAGACTCGTCTCATTACTGGAACTCCCAACCCTGCTATCAAAGTTCTAAGCCGATAACTGCCGATCATTGGCTAGAGTATATGTATACTCTGTAGATCACATGAACTCCTTTGATTTCTCTTTCACTAATTACTTCAGTTTGGACAAGATTGCATGCAAGAACATCTTGACATACGCTTTGCTCAAGATTCAGCATTATAGTGAAGGTCTACGTAATCAGGTCTCCAACAAAACTTATACTCTTTATCTTTTGCCTGCTTGATGCGCATTTTTGTGACCGTTGTGATTTCCATGTTACAGATGTCTTTTCTACCAGCTGTGGAATCAACCTTCTGCCGTCCTGGGGTTAAAGTTCCTGAGTGGTTTACCCATCATAGTTCTGGACATTCGCTAGTTATGCAGCTGCCTTCAAATTGGACAAGTAACGGGTTTGCAGGCTTAACTATCAGTGTTGTTCTTGCATTCAAGGGCCATTTCTATCACTACAAAAAAGCGGGTCATTAGTGACAAAAATTAGCGATGATGGATCAATTTTGTCGCTAAAATGACTTTTAGGCACGATATTCCACTTTCGTCAATTATATTCCGTCAACAAGTTATGTATTTGCGACAAAGCATAGACGTCGTCGATAAAGACAATAATCTTTGTCACTAACTGCACTTTTTGGAGGGAAAATTGGCGCCATGGTTATCTGCTACGAATAAAATCTGGTCGTCAGTAATGTTCCGTCAAAAACATTGTTTTTGTGACAAAGCCTACATGTCGTCGGAAAAGACAGACATTACTGACAACCTTTAGCGAATGAAGGTCAAATTCGTCGCAAAGAATACTTTTAGGGACGACGTTACACTGTCGTCAATAATGTTTCGTCAAAATTTTATGTATTTGCGAAGGCTGTAACTTGTCGGTAAAAATATTAATTTTTGTCACTAAGTCTAATTTTTGGAGGGAAAATTGGTACCATGGTTATTTGTGATGAATATAATTTGTTCGTTGGTAATGCTTCGTCGCAAAAAAAAAATTGTGACACCTCTTCGGTAAAATCTGAATCCTCGTCGCTACGTTCATTCTTTGGATTGCGACAGCCTGTAACCAGTCGGTGAAATTTGTTCCTCAGAATTTATTACGTGCATTAGTCCCTTTGAAAAGAAAAGGTTAATGGGAGAGCTGGCGTTATCATATTGGTGGTAATTTTGCTGCCTGATTTATACATTGACCAAAAAGGAAGCCAATGGACGTGATCTTTGAAAGGGCAATGACAAATTCAAATTCATTATAACATCTATTTATCAAACATGGTACCAGAAAAATGGAATTGTCGATGTGAAACACATAAATATTTTAGCAAAAGAAAAATATCTATCTCAACCTACAAGTCTTCAAGCCCCTCTCTACTCCAATTTATTCCATCATCTTCATCATTTCCAGTCTCTTGAGGAGTAGTTACTGAAATAATTTCCTCTTGGTATGCTTCGTCACCATCATCACCAACATCATCATCTGGCATCTGAAACAAATTTCTAGGATATGATTCCCAAGCCTTCCGTCACTACTACTTCGGTGGCAGTGCTTATGGCGGAATATTTCTCTAGTCCAATGCAGTCAAAATCGCGCTTTAAAATTGAAAAACTTACGTTTTACGCTTCTAGGTCACCAAAATGCTTTCGTTTCCATGTAAAATCTTTAGTGTATAAAATCGGACTAAATTGTGCTTTAAACTTAAAAACTTACGCTTTTACGCTTCTAGTTCACCAAAACGCTTTACGCTTTTACGTTTCCAGTTCACTAAATGGGTATTCTTTTCATGAAATTAATTATAAAAAAGTATATTTTAAAGGTAAATCACCAACATTATGATACATTTGAGATTAAAATATACATATCAATTACTTAGATGCATTCTCAGCTTCAATAGAGTAATCTAATTCACTAGATGGGTCCTTCCCAAATTCATTATCATGGAGCGGAAGGTGGCTTACTGTTAAGATATATATTTATGAACTTATTGTTAAAATGCTATATATGAGTTGCTCTACTTTAGACGTGAATTGCAGATATTTATTGACTTATCTAAATTATGTGCACTCATATTTTACATAGTATATGTCATACTTAATAGATTTTTAGCTATTTTACAATATGTGTCAAAAACTTGCGCTTTACGATTCTATCCATTTTTCGCTTCTAGTTAGAATCACGATTTTGACTGCATTGCTCCAGTCGAATCATCTTATATTCGGCTACGATCCTAGTATCCTTGAAGCGGTTTACCCAGAAGCAATGCTGTCAAAGCCGAGCAGGAGTATGACCCGGTAACGTGAACGGCTTGGTCATTAGCGGTCCAGCCGACATTAGACCGTTTAAAAACCGTTTGAGAACCGGTACCTAATAAACAATCATCTGTAATAGTAGACACTTCTTAATCATGGTAAACCACAAGTAAATTACTCTCTTAAACCATTCTAGAACATAAGTACCGAAAGATCTAAAATTCAACAAATGTATTCATGACGAATCTCTCTTTCAGCTTTGATATCTCTTTCTCTTTTTACTGGTTGAGCCACATAAGCATTAATCAATCCATTCGAGCAGGGCAGTTTTTGATAGGAAGCTTGTAAATCAACTTACCTCGAGCAGGGCAGTCTTCACGGCGATTGCTTGCGAGGGCGACTGGCGACGATGGCGACGGGACGGCGAGCTGCTTGCGACGGCGAGATGGTGGACGGAAGCGCTTGCGAGGGCAACTGGCGACGGGACGGCGAGCTGCTTGCGACGGCGAGATGGTGGACGGAAGCGCTGGCGATGGTGGACGGAAGCGCTTGCGAGGGCGACTGGCGACGATGGCGACGGGACGGCGAGCTGCTTGCGGCGGCGAGCTGCTTGCGATGGTGGACGGAAGCGCTGGCGATGGTGGACGGCGCCGCTCTCCCTCTATTGTTTCCTTTGTTCAGGTCGAAGAACTGGAGAAAGAAAAGGAAAGGTAGGGTTTTCAGTTTTGTTTGGCTGGCGGCTGCCCAATTCCAATTTTTTTTTTTTTTAGGGTTAATTAAACGGCCGAACCGAGCGACCGGTTCGAGCGGTTAACCGCTTCGGCCGCCGTATTAAACCGTAGCGGCTAAATAGCTGATCCGAGCCGGTTTTGCGGCCGGGTGGCGGCTTTAGCGGTCCGGCCGGCCGGCTCGGCTCGGTTTTGACAGCATTGCCCAGAAGACATGAACGAGAATCCTTTGCCTGGCTACAATGTGATTGCTTGTGGGGCACGTCTTCTATATGCCCAGGAAGAGAAATGTCAGCGTTTCGAAACTGGGCTTCCATTTGACAAAATGGCACAAAAAGCTTCTTCTCTATTTAATACAAAGCCCAAATTCTGGAAATCCGATGGCGTTTCATGAGGGAGCCAGGCCTAGAGCCAGCGAAATCCAGACATCCGTGCAAAATGAAGAAACGGGTATCAGACAGAAACGCGAAACGACCGAGAAAGCTTCCTCTTTATTTATTTGAAGGTCCCAAAAGGAACAATAACCGGCAGCGTTTTAGTTTTCACAAGGGAGGTGGGAGTAAGATTGGGTAAAACTGGGCTTCCGTTTGACAAAAGCCCAAAAGAGCTTATGTTCCATTTAATCAAATGCCCAAAAGAACCGGGAATGCGGCAGCGTTTCGGGAGCGAGGTAGGCCCACGTCCGGAGAAAACTGGTAACCTCCGAGAACGGAGAAACGGGCGTCATAAATGGGCGAAACGCCAAACATTTCTTGTCCTCAAAACCAAAATCGAAACGCGAGATCTCTCAATATTACGATATATCGGTTAAGCGTTTTTTTTTTTTTTTACTTTCCGCGCTATATTGACCCGGCGCTGAACTTGCCGCTCTGAGTACCAGAAAAACCGAGGGAAAATCCAGAAATACACAAGACGATCACATCAAAATACGGGGGAACCAACACGGCAATGATTCTGTTCAGGAGCTGCGCCAAGATTCCTGCATCCAATTGCAATTTGCGCTTTCCTGAATGGGTTTTTTTTTATATAGTGAACTTGGGGAACTCGATAACGCTGCGCTATTGCCGTAACCGGAGAAGGAAGCGCTGCAAGCGCTTTGGCGGGAGGAAGCTGCACCTATGCGGCGCTGCGGCACTCATCTCTTACTCTATCAGTCCGCCATCTTGCATCTCGCCGGCCTCCTATGTATCTCGCCGGTGGGCGTATCTGTTGGTCTGGCAGTTGGGCAATCTTCAGTAGCGGATAAAATATCCAAACTGATTAAGAGACCTAAGCTCGAGGCAGGTATCTGCTATGACACAGATGATCTTTCACAAGAATTAGAAAGCTCTGGTCGCAACGAGTTACACTGGAGCCCCTCAGTTATCTAGTAAGTTGCAGTGTTATTTGTCAGATTGGTCTCTACCACTTCCAACTGCTCTCTTAAAGTTTTTATCATTTTGGTTAGAGTGTCCTGGTTCTAGTGTGCTTGGTCAGTTGCCATTGCCAAATCGAAGCTGGTTTGTTCCCAGTAGTGGACATTTGACCGTTACTTGTGAACTAACAGGAGTTAGCTACTTCGGGTGGTTGATGAAACTGATTGAATGCTCAGGGAAGCATACCCGTCTTGGGAACGCGTTAGGATGATTACTCAAAATTGAGTAATCACCGTGGCTACTAAAATCTAGACCCTTAATTATTTATATTTTACTCTAATTTTAAATTGACGATGAAGATTAGATTAAGGGTAATTTTGAGAATAAAAAAAATACCACACCTGATTTCTATCCTTTAAAAAATTAATTCTATATATTATACCTAAACCTACTCCAACCCTATTTTATATCTTCGTCAACACCTATCCTGCGGCCCTCCCACTGCCGGCAGCCGCCCACCCTCCGGCGACCCTCGCCCACCTTCGTCAACACCTATCCTGCGGCCCTCCCACTGCCGGCAGCCGCCCACCCTCCGGCGACCCTCGCCCACCTTTGCGGTCTCTCTCTCTCTCTCTCTCTCTCTCTCTCTCTCTCTCTCTCTCTCTCTCTCTCTCTCTCTCTCTCTCTCTCTCTCTCTCTCTCTCTCTCTCTCTCTCTCTCTCTCTCTCTCTCTCTCTGATGGCGGTGGAGGTGTTAGATGGTGATGCCGGCCTAGGCCAGCCTTCCCCCTCCCTCTCTCTCCAAACCTCCTGATCCCCTCTCTCTCTCTATATTTTCTCCTGCCAACCTTCCGTGCTTGTGCAAGTTGGGGATTGGTATGTATTTTTGGGATTGGTATATTTTTTTGGTATTGCTTTGTTTTGATATTGATTTTGTCGCATTGGTATTATTTTTGTGGTAATGGTATTATTTTTATCATATTGGTATTGATTTTGTTGCAATGGTATTGATTTTGTCGCATTGGTAGTGATTAAATCTGCAATGGTATTGATGTTTTGTGAAATGGTAGTGTTTTTCTTTCTTGAATGGTATTGATGTTTTATGAAATGGTAGTGTTTTTATTTCTTGAATGGTAGTTTTCGTGTAATGGTATAAATTTATTTATGCAATGGTAGTTTTCGTGTAATGGTATAGATTTATTTCTGCAATGGTATTGATATTTTTCAAAGTGGTAGTGTTTGTCTAATGGATTGGTACTGATTTCGTTTTTTTTTTTTTGCTGAAAGATTGAGAAAAATATGGAAAGGAAATCTCGCTGGAGATTACGGAAGTGAGAGAAAGAGAGAATTTTAATTAATAGATTTTTGTAACTACCTTAAATGTAATTTATTAAAAAATTAATTAATATAATTTATTTTTCCATACCCAATTTACCCTTAGTAACCACGGTGATTACTACTTTGTAGTAATCACCGTAACCTGTCCCCCCGTCTTGGCTTCCTTCATAGCCTAACTCGTTCTCATCATCTCATGAAGAAGTTCCTGTCTTAATAGTTTTCTGCCATCTGGGTTTGTTCATAGCCTAACTTGTCTCTGATTGTATGCAAACTAGTTCGTCCTGAAGATGTATGCGATTTCCTGTAAAATGTTCTTTGGTATCTTGCATTTTTAAGTTTTTTATCCACCATTCTGGTGGAAACTGAAGTAGCTTTTGCTCACTGAACTTATCCTCTCTAAAACCAACTTTTTTTAACCATCATGCAGGTATGTGAGTCGAAGGCTCGAAGCTGAAGCCCTGTACTTGGTTGCAGTTCTTACAAAAGTTTAGGAACGGAAAAGTGCATTGTTTTCACCTCATTGGTGGAATCTACTCACAGACCTTGCACCCAAGTGAACTTCTTTGGTGATTTGGAACTTAGTATCAAAAATTATATACTGGTCTTAATGTCAACAATCTATGAGAAGGTACTGTCAATATTACAACATGCAGATAGATAGCACAAATTATGAAGAATGTTGTTAGATTTGCTGGCTTAACTTATCTCTGCTGTTCTGGGCAATTTCTATGAATCTGGTGTTCAACTCAACTGTAACATTTCATTTCAGCACCCAAGGACACGATTCCCAAGCTCTCCATCACTGCTACTTTGGTGGCAGGCAGTGCTTATGATGCAAAATTTCTCCTGTCGAATCATCTTCTATTCGGCTATGATCCCATAATCATTTGCTTGGAAAATGCAACCAGATGGATATTTTGTTCTACCCAGAAGACGCTAATGACAATCCTTAGCCCGGCTGCGATGTCATTGCTTGCAGGGCAAGTCTCCTATATGCCGTGATGCCCAAGAATGGAAACATCTCAACTTCTCCTGAGATAACACACTAGTTATCACTTATCAGTATTCATGTAAAGCTTCACACTTTTTGATTCCACGACCTTAAGTAGGTTCACTAGATTACTCATAGATCCTGATATGATCTGTGAAAAATTCTCATAAAATGTAACAAAACATAACTCCCATCAAGATCCTGATATGACCTGTGAAAAGTTCATTCATTTACCATTGTAGCTCACTGTAAAACTACACAGAAGGAGAGACCACCAAGGTTCAATATTGTAGCTGTAGTCACTCATTTCCCCACCGGCCACTACAGTCCCCCACTGTAAGGCCATCACAAATTGAAAAGGAGACCATGAAAAACTACTTCAATTACACAACAACTACTTCAATTACACAACAACAGAGTCTATCATTAACAACAATATCCCCCCCCAAGTTCCCCGATCAGTACAAGTACAGGAAAAACAAATTCTTCATCCTCTGTTTTCTCAAAGCTCACAGGACGGATCGGACTTTCAGCTTGCAAAAATGTTCAATTACTAGGGATGATGGTGCAGGGATATAGCCTGAAAATCTGCGTGAAAGAAAATGAATCTGAGTTTAGTTCACCATCAAAGGAATCTAGTCATGGAAGATCACGGTGATGAGAAAAGGAAGAGATTTGTAGGCTGTACATAGTAGCCATCACAAAATTCACAATCTAGTGTCACATTATCCCACATACATGCAAACCAACATTCGATATGGAGTTCAAAAAGAAGGGCATGGTTTCATTAGACCAGGGGCGGATACATGGGCGTCTAAGGGTGTCCCGGGACACCCCTAAAATTTGGGGAAACGATTATCCAACCTCCGATAATAGTTTCGTATGGGTATACAAAATATAATTGATAATCCGGGACACCCTAACATTTGAAAAAATGATTATCCTACCCTCGATAATAGTTTGCTTATGATTAACAAAATATAAGTGGTAGTCCGTGTTATTCCAACCTAGGACACTACTATTATCAAACATATTCTAATTATGTTGCTACTCATTTGTTATTCTATTTTAAACATCATGCAACATTAAAACGCTATTTCTTTATCCCTAACTATTTTCAATACCTAATAATTAAACTACGTACACGCTACCCTTAATTTTGAATTGATTTTATGGTTACATGGCAAGTGTTGAAAGAGTCTTTTCTACTTCGAGCTACATTAAGAACAAGGTTAGAAATCAAATATGTGATAAGTTCGTGAAGTATTGTCTAGTAGGATATGTAGATTTTTTTTTTAACAGTGCAGACACGGAGTTTATTTATATTATTTTTTCAAAATATGAAAACACAGCATGAATTTTAATAAAAAATTCATACAAGTATGATATTTTTAATATACGAATTATTAAATTTAATTTTTAAGAGGACACCCCTGTGAAAATTTTCTGAATCCGCCACTGCATTAGACGGATGGACCCACCTTTGTAACTCGATGGCCGTAGTCTATTCTGCGACCAGAGCTGCCGAAGAAGTAAGAAATCAAAACCTGCTGATCAGCAGTTAACATGTCCATGTCATCCTCCTTATGACGCAAAGTCAAGGACTTCAATCTTCTAAAAGGCGAAGGTCGACCTCTCAACAGCCGACAAGCACTCCAGAATGCCTAAAACCAGAGCGTAAACCAGAATAAAATGAAGAGAATAAGCTTTCTTTCGACCCCCGTAACAAAATCAAAGACCAAAAATAACTTGCATAAACAGGTGCAATGGCGAACAGACCATTGATCAACAACTCAGATAAATGCCCTGCAGCAGTAAGATGTGATATGAGTTTGTGCACTAATACAGTTACCATGGAGCTTACCGTGGTGGTACCAAATTTGAGGACCAGAGATTCCGCTTGACGCAGACCATAGATTAACACTGCATACCGTTTCTGTACCTCTTCCTCATTCTGGTCATCAGTATTCTCTAACTCTTCCTCATTCAGGTCAACAGTCGAATCTTTGTATCCCTTCAAGTTGACAGCTGCATGCTCTAAGGATGGAGCGTTCAAGGAGACTCTTGTTATCGGATAAGAACGAAGAATCGCAAACTTAAAAGTAAACGATGTGAGATTGGCAGCTGAAACTTTGATCTCTGAGAAACCAATTGGTTTGTTTATTCCCAGAGTCAGCAACTGGTGCCCATTTGCTACCAAGATGGCAACATCAGTAAGAGGGTCATCATAATCCCGGTTAATAGAGCGGCAGCAAGAAGTCAGGCTCAACTGCTTCAACGCTGGGAACCCAGCAAAAGGGTCAATTTCCTCCTTGACAAAGAAATCAAAGGAGACTCCGTTCAAAACCAATTCTTCGAGTGCTCTGAAACTAGACCAGGACTCCCGCCAAATACCGCTGCAGAATACTTGAAACCTCCCAACTGCAGTTTCTTCAGCGACGCAGCACAAGTGGAGATTGATTTGAAAGCAGTCTGCGAGTAATGATGATCGTTTATAAATCCAGAGGAACCGACAACCCGCAAATCCCAAAGACCAAGTGAAGCCGAGCAATCCATGAGGCCATTAAAGATTTGGATTAGGGATGGCAATTTACCCACCCATGGGTAATTTTGCCCAAACCCAAGTAGACCCATTTATTATGGGTAGGGTTTGGGTGATGTGTGTATGGGTTTGGGGTTTGTATATGGGTTTGGGTTAGATATAGATATTATCTAAATGGGTATGGGTTGGATATGGATATCCATTTACTTGAGGGTGTTTTAACTACACATGCAAAAATTGGAATGATTTGTTAAAACTTGAAAATTTTAGGTACCAAGATGTAAGACCAAAAAAATTTAGGTACCAAAACATAATTTTTCATCGATATTTTGAGGACTTATATGCAAAAAAAAATTAAATTTAGGTACTAAATATGCATATCTATTAAGTTTAGGTACCAAACTGTAATTTGTATTTGGGCATGGGTACAAACCCAAATCCATTTGTTATAAACCCAACCCAAAGTAAATGGGTATGGGTACAAACCCATCAAACTTTACCCATATCCATATATTTGGATTTCATACCCAACCCAATTGGGTTGGATAGTAAAATACCCATGGGTATGGGCAAAATTGTCATCCCTAATTTGGATATCGGTTTGGTCCGAGAACTGGAAGCTGATCTGGAGAGACTGAACCATATTTTCTTCACCCACAGATATCCCCCACCTGCTCGATAAAATACGGCTTCGAAAACCAGACTTGGCGTCCAAACAAACAAAGCAAACTGTCAGAACAGAAGCGTGCAATCGATAATCCAAACTCATACGAACGAACACAAATTTAACGTGGTTCACTAACACAATGTGTGCTAGTTAATCCACGGGCAGGGGAAAACAAATTTCACTGATTTGAGGAGAGTACAGGTTACAAACCCAAATTCCAAACTGACAAACCAAACAAACTAACCTGACTGACCTTACTATAGACTAGGGTGATGAAGAGTATTTATAGAACTCTTCTCCTAATCCCAAACCAAACACCTTTTCCAAACCTACAAGGAAAAGGCCAAAACAAAGCCCAAACCCAAACCCAAACCCAAACAGAATAGGCTCAAACACAAAACTAATCCAAATCAAATTCAAGTCATATCCTAACAATCTCCACCTTGACTTGAATTCTCTGTCAAATACGAGATGTACCAGACGCAACCAAAGTTGCAAGATGTACCCAAACGCGATACATATGGCCAGACTTATCCAAATGCGATCGAAACCGCCAAACTCAAACGCGATGCAAATCGCCAAATTCAGATGCAATCAAGATTGCCAGACATACCAAACTCCTCCAAATCAGTTGTACCAGAATCTCCCCTGCCTCCAAATGCCCCTAAGGGCGGTCAACAACTCAAACCATTTGGCAAGTCCAATCCATATTGAGACTTGTCATTCAAAACCAGCTTGGTGCACTTATCACCAACAGAACATGTCAAGACAGAACCTTGTAGATTATACAAGGCACCCCGCTTGACACCTTTCAAAATCACCTTAGAACCCTTGTAGACAGACAACACTCCACCTTCACCTTTGAAACTGAAACCCTTGCTGTCGAGTAGACTCAAAGATATCAGATTCTTAGTCATCTCTGGAATATGTCTAACATTGTTCAAGGTGCGAACAGAACCATCATGTGTCCTCATCCTGACAGAGCCTCTTCCAACAATCTTACAGATAGCACCATTGGCCATAGAAACATGTCCTCCATCTATCTGCTCATAAGTTGAAAAACACTCCCTGCTTGGACACATATGATAATCCGCTGCAGTATCTAAATACCACACATCCTTATGATGTACCTGTTCATTCACTGCTAAGGGTAAACCATCTTCAGAATCAGAGTTAGTTTCTTCCGCCACAGCAGCGGATGATTCCTTCTTCTCCTGATATTTCTTTAGCTTAGGACAATCAAATTTCCAATGTTCTTTCTCCTTGTAGTAATGACATATATCATCCCTCAAACCAGCAGAATTCGAATTTGTATTCTCCTTCCTATTACCAGATTGTTGTCTCCTACCACCAGTAGCAGCCAACCCAGATGCCCGATTTTCCGAACCAGAACCAGACGCCTTATGTCGAACCTCTCTAGTATGTAGAGCAGATCTGACATCTTCCAAAGACAAACTATCTTTTCCAGCAATAAAAGAATCCAAAAAATTCTCATATGACTGTGGCAAATATACCAGCAGAATTAAGGCAACATCCTCATCATCTACTTTAACATCAATATTCCGCAGATCTAACAAGATGGTATTGAGTTGATCTAGATGATTCCTGAGAGACGTACCTTCCTCCATACGCAAACTGAACAAACGTTGCTTCATATGCAACTTGTTAGTTAAAGACTTTGTCATATATAGACTTTCAAGCTTCAACCACAAGCCCGCAGCAGTCTTCTCGGTAGCAACCTCAGTAATGACGTCATCAGCCAAACAAAGCAAGATTGTTGAGTGAGCTTTCTCCTCCAAAGTAATCCACTCTTCTTCATCTATACTTTCCTTCTTCGATTTTCCAGACAACGGAGCCCACAAACTCTGTTGTTTCAACAGTGCTTGCATCTTGATCTGCCACAAACTGAAATTGTTTCTTCGAGTGAACTTCTCAATCTTCATACTGATAGCAGCCATTCTTATTATCAAACTAACTCCAACCAAACTCCACAAAACATCTTCAGTCCAGCGCCAAATTCCCAAAACCGCAACCAAAGACGAAATTCCAAATTAATGCACGGTTGAACTTTGCCGCCAAATTTCTCAACCAAATAAACCCAACTCAAATTGTTGGGCACCAAGTAAACACCGAATTCACAAGTCACAACCAGAAGAAGTCTTCTTCAGCTTCCCCGCTTATAAGGATTGGATTAAATAAATAATCCTTACCCAAAAACAACTCCAAAAAAGCTAATTAAGGAGCGTACAATTAGCTTGCTCCAAAATACCAAAGCTCAAACCACAAAAGACAAAATTCCTCCAACTGCTTCTCGACAATTAATCTTGCACCAAATATTCAAACAGCTCTCCAAAATTAAAGAGCCACAAGTCGAAGCCGGAGAGAAGAATGACCAATCCACCAACCAACCAGTAGCGCGATCCCAAATCCCGCGAAGACAGTATCAAATAACCCAAGATCAACCAGGCTCTGATACCACTTGTCAGAACAGAAGCGTGCAATCGATAATTCAAACTCACACGAACGAACAAATTTAACGTGGTTCACTAACACAATGTGTGCTAGTTAATCCACGGGCAGGGGAAAACAAATTTCACTGATTGGAGGAGAGTACAGGTTACAAACCCAAATTTCAAACTGACAAACCAAACAAACTAACCTGACTGACCTTACTATAGACTAGGGTGATGAAGAGTATTTATAGAACTCCTCCTAATCCCAAACAGAAAACCAAACACATTTTCCAAACCTACAAGGAAAAGGTCAAAACAAAGCTCAAACCCAAACCCAAACAGAATAGGCTCAAACACAAAACTAACCCAAATCAAATTCAAGTCATATCCTAACACAAACATATAAAGACTCGGTTCATATTCCAAAATCGCAAGCGTCTATGAATCAATCAGCTACTAAGACCTCGTTCGAACAAGCACGGAAAGACTCAGAATCTTGGGCATAGCTTACGAACAGATGGAGTGCATAATTCAAGAACTGTAACCAATCAAGCTCTGAAACAGAGAGAGGGAAGATGGGTACCTGGACGAGAAACTGGCCGAGAGAGGAAGAAAGCTTCGAGAGGAAACGGAATTACGGAAAGAGAACTAGATTCAGGAAACGATCGCGTGATCAGTTTGTCTTTCTGCACCGATCAACTCGGCGCTGGGAAACTCGCAGGCAACGATTCCCCCACGGCCCACCTGCTCGATAAAATGCGGCTTCGAAAACCAGACTTGGCGTCCAAACAAACAAAGCAAACAAACAAAACTCAGCGCATATTCCAAATCGCAGACGTCAATGAATCAAAAGGATGCACATAAACCTTCCGTCAGCTGCTGAGATCTTCTTCGAACAAGCGCGGAAAGACTCAGAATCTTTAACATAGCTTACGAACGAACAGATGGAATGCATAATTCAAGAACTGTAACCAATCAAGCTCTGAAACATAGAGGAGAGGGAGAGAGAGGAGATGGCTACCTGGATGAGAAACTGGCCGAGAGAGGAAGAAAGCTACGAGAGGAAACGGAAAGTGAACTGGACTTCGAAAACGATGGCGTGATCTGCTGTCTCGCTGCACCGATCAACTCGTCGCCGGCAACTTTCAGAGGAATAGCAGTCGACGAGCCGAGGGAAAGAGGACGTCGTCGCTCGTCGGAGCAACCGTAGCGGAAGAGGAAGTGAAAGGAGAAGGGCGACGGTTAGAGAGAAATGTGCAAAGACTGCACGGAGGCGGTGGGCGGTAAATTTTTGCTTTTCGTCGCTTTTGGTTTTGGAGGCAGAGGAGGAGGGAGAACAAGCAGAAGAAGAAATGGCGATGTGATGGACGTTTTGATTGGGCGGGAGGGATGGTAGGGACGGACGGCGTGAGAAACTTGATAATTGATATCTTCTCTCTCATTTATAATGCTTTTTTTTTCTTTTTTAACAGCGATGAGCCCAACCCGGCCCGGCCTACAATTTCCTTCGGCCCACTTGGGTAACAGGCCCGCTTCACTAGGCCCGATTTCTCATTTAGTTTGAGAAATTTCTTGTTTTTCTAACTGTGGAAATTTTGATTTTTTTTATATATTATTGATGAGCTCTGTTTGGTATACAATGAAATATTATTTTACATGTTATATTTTTGGTCAAGAGTGTTTCTAGGAAAAGGGGAAGTTCAAATGGGATTAAAATGGATGGAAAATCAAATAGATTGTTTCAAATATAATTTGGATATGTAAATTATTTTAAAGACGAGATCAATGTGATAAATTCAAATCAAATCAAAATATATTTTTGAATACGATTAAAATCATCCATTCGTTGTTACTTTAAATTATAACCGTCTTTTAATTGGATGAGACTGTGGACAACAACATATTGTACATTGGAAATAACATGACATATATTTAAGTCACAAACATACTTATAATATTGATGAAAAACACTTGTCATAACGTTTGGCAACAGAACAATTTGACGGTGTATGAGGAGGGAGACAATGGACGATAGTAAATATATGATCGTTAGGATGTGGCAACATTGTTCCCCTAGCAAATGGCCTTGGAGCCCCAGAACAAATACCCAACCTGCTACGATGCAAATACAAGTATAGAGACACCCGCTCCAACCTGCCATTGCTATTCCTACCTAAACTAGGTCACCTAGTATCGCTCAACTTAGAATAGGCTATGTATCTCGTATCAACCCAAGAACTCCACTTTATCCTCTTCCTCCACACCAAGTCACCAACCATGATTTCACCCTCGAAACAGCCTTCTTCCCCGTGCAACCCGACATTGAATGCATCCCTTTTTTCTCTTCCAACTTCTCCTGCATATCAAACAAGGCCAGGTCGAACTCGTAGCTGTAAACGCCACGTGGCCTCGAGACCTCTCTGCAGCCACCCAGACGAATATCGCGACAGCAAGCTGGACGCTCTGAGATATCACTGAAATACTCGAGATTGGAACACCCCGACAGATCCAGAAGTCTAAGTGACTTCAACTTACCAATATCAGCTCCGAATCTTGTCAAAGCTAGATTGTTTCTCATCTGCAACACTTCGAGTTCTAAGAGATGGTCCATTGGCGAAGACGAGGGAACCTCCCTGATTCCTGTCCCATTCATCGTCAACTTCTTGATCCCCCCAGAGATCTCTGGGAAATATCTGATGTTTAAGCAGCCGTCCAAGTTCAGAACTTTCGGAACTCTAAACCTGAGAACTGAAATAGGAAGTTCCCTGATTGTTGTCCCGCTAAGATTCAGTTCTTTCAGGCTTGCTGAGACTTCTGGACAGGTTGAAACCTTGGGGCAGGACGATAAATCGAGGTGCCTCAGGTGTTCAGAGTCCAGTCTTGTAGGGAGGAACTTGAGATTTTTGCAGCTTTTAAGATGGAGGCGCTTGAGCTTGGTGTGATGTTGGAAGTACGAGGGGAGCTCCACTACTCGTTCGCATCCATCGAGAACTACTGTCTCCAGATTCTCTGCTTTTGATAAGTCTGGGATCCACTTCAAGCTCTTAGAGCCTTCGAGATCAATCAACCTCAAGTTGCCAAGATGCTGTTGAAATATGATAAGGGCATGGTTATAGTTTAGAAATGTTTGCCTCTACATTATTAAACCAACAAAGAGCGATTTAAAGCTATTGCAAATTACACAGAGCAGTACACTTAATCAAACTATAGCAAACGACCTGTTCAGCTCAAAAGGTTGAGAATTTGATAAAAAGAATATTGTTGATCTACAAGGGATGTGTTCATCTACCTGAACTCCTGGCCAGAGCTGTGAGACCTTGCTGAAAGGCAGACTGAGCTCCACCAGATTTTCAGCACAAAATTTGAGAGGAAGAGATGCAGAAGGGAATCCATGCCAATGAAGAAGTGTGAGCTCGTCCGACATGGATTGAAGACCACAACGAGGAAGATGCACATTACAAACATCTGATCTGTAATCAGGACGATGAAACTTGAGCAATCTCAGGCGATCCATCTTTGCAAATGCATCACCTTCCAAATGCATCTCTTCTACTTTTGACATGTCCAAGAACATGCCTTCCATGGAAACACTAGCCTGATAACAGCAAATCAAGCTCATGAGTGAATCGAGAATAAGAAATAAATGATTCTATTAAATTATTGCTTCCTAATGTATCAAGAATATTAGAATAAACTCCAAAAAAAGTCAAATCCAAACTCACACTCATACACGTATAGATTGTGCTCAACTTAGAAGTATATTGTGTACCTTTTTCCTGGATAAAACTTGGAAAACGTCCTTAGGATTCCAAAGCCTCGTTCTCCGCTCGGGCTCAACTTGTTCATGTACAATACCCCAACCCATCTCTTGTATCAGATCATGCATCTCCAAAGTATTGCTGCAGGAAACCATCACCAAAGACTTATCTACCAGATTGGTAATCATAACCCGCACAGAAGAGTAACAGCCATCCAATACTTTGGTCACATGATCTCGATCTTCGCCTCTAAAGAAGCAAGCAATGTCGAGAAACACGCTCTGCTCCTCACGATCCAACCCATCATAACTAACTTTCAAAACACTCTGGATATCAGGATTGACAATTCTACCCAACCTTTTCATTTTGCTCTTCCAATCTTCCCTACTTCTCCCCACAAGGGCCAACCCCAAAATCCTGATGGCCAAAGGATTCCCCTTGGCATAGTCCACAAACCTCTTGGACATCTCCGCATCATTACCCGCGAAGGATTGACCTTTCCTAGAGGCATTCAAACAAAAAAGTTCAAGAGCTTCATCTGGGTTCAATGGCTTAACCTCATAGATCTTGTCAGCCACAATGCTAAGAACATGCTTATCTCTACCAGTAACAATGATTCTACTTCCCGGACCAAACATATCATCTCCATCTCCCAGTAACTCCTGCAGTTGTAAAGAGTCAGCTACATCATCCAGAACTATAAGAACTTTCCTGCGGTGAAGCCTGTTCTGCACGAATTTAAGCTCAGTGGCCAGGCTTTCGTTCTTGTTGTCCAGTATCTTTCTTATAAGCTCTTCATGTAAGTGGAATATGGTCTTACTTTTCCTCAGTTGCTCCTGAAAATTCTCCAACAAGAAGCTACCTTCAAACTGAGGTGAGATTTGGTCAAATATAGCTTTTGTCAGGGTGGTTTTACCAATGCCACCCATCCCCCATATTCCTATGGTAAGAACATCATCGCCATGAAGCAAATCCTTTTGCAGCAAGGATTCCACTTCTTTGATGCGTGATTGAATTCCAACCAAGCCTTTCATGGGACTGGCTCTAGGACATCTTTGGCTTAACTTGTGCAATACATCATTTACTACTTCATCCACGAGTTTTGACTCAGGCCTGTCACACAATCATCGTAGAAGACAAACCTTAACTGATAAGTGATGCAATTAACGATTGTCAATGAGGCAATTAAGAAAGAAAAAATAATCAAGGACACTAACTAATCACCTGGTGACGACGGAATCCCAGCCGGAGAGGTTCCCGACCTCCCTCAGCGCATCACTCCACCGCTCCACCTTTTCCTCCTCATACACCGCCGCATGTCCATCAAAAGCCTCACCAACCCGGCCCAGCTGACCCGTCAAATCCCCCGGATCGACCCGGTAAAAAACGGGCACAACCGCCGTCCCCTTCCGCCGCCTGCACTCTGCAATTTCGGCGATCTCGTCCAGGCACCACGGGGAAAACGCGTAGCCTTCCGAGATAACGACGACGCAGACCTCCGACCTCGCGATCGCCGCCTTGATCGACGGCGAGATCTCATTCCCTCTCTCCAGATCCACGGCGTCGAAGAAGGCGGCGACGTTTCTCCGCCGCAGCGCGGCGTAGAGGTGGCTGGCGAAGCCGTCGCGGGTGTCTCCGCCGCGGAAGCTGACGAAGACATCGAACTGGTTGTGGTGGTGGCGGCGGCGGTTGCTCTGCGGGAGCTGCGCCATTCATGGTCGTGTGAGTGAAGATGGAGACCAAGGAGGAAGAGAGATATAAGAGAAGCCATTGACGAAGACTCGAGGAGGAAGGGTAAGAATGGGGAAGGTCTTCGGAAATTGACGGGATCAAATGAATTACGCGTATTCTCCATCTTCTCCCCATGGAATCAAGAAGAAAAAACCCGTGGGTACTTTACTCCTCCGCCAATAGTCGGCACCCCACTTGGTTTACTGACCCGGAAATCGGAATTGACCCGGGTTCGGTCTTGACTCCTTGTTCATCTCCGGCAAACGTTAAACGAGTTCCTCCCAAAACCCACCCAAATGAATACAGAGCCAAGTTAACCTGCCGACGCCGCAAGTTTCTTCCTTTCCTTCCTTTCTCTGCCACGCCAAGACAAAACCGGCGCAAAGTAGGCACTTCCTTGGCTGCTCTCTGAAAGACGGTCTTAGTCAAGCTAGTGTCAGGTCTCGTTTGTATCTTCAGCAGTTCAGCTATGCAATTTATTTATTTTCCTTAAATCTTTGATTTCCACTCTCTATCAGGAACTGAGAAGTGCTAGTTTCCGGTGACATTCGAAAGGTACAAATGGGATACCGATGCAAAACAGTCGCAGCCGGAGACTGGCCAGATTGCTTCAGATTAGGTCTCAAGGTCTTTGTTCCGTCGATAAAGCACACATCTTGGAGGTATTTTTCACGGCTCTTTTCCTCTTGGACGCGTTCCTTGTATGCTTTTGTGCAAGGTTGTCAACCCACGGGTTGATCCACGGGTCGACCCAATTTGATCCTGACCTGGTAAGAAAAATGGGCCGCACGCATCCGCTGGGCTGACCGCTATAAGGTACCGGGTTGAATGTCAAATTGTGTCATTTTTTTCTTTAGTTTGCGAAATGCGCCTATTTTCCAATTTTTCTTTTCGCCTAACTCAATCTTTTGAATACTAAGTTGAACATTTGAATATTTATGTTATAGAACTGTGTGTGAATTTTCACTATATGTTGGATCTAAGTACAATATGTTATTTTGGTGTAATATTATATGTTATAACTCATATGTTAGATAAGATTTGATATCATTTATGAGGATAAATACAATATAATGACTCTTTCTATATTTCCGGGCCAAAACGGTTGACCCATTAACCCTTGACCCACTAGCTCGACCGGGTCCGGGTCAACCCGCGGGTTGACAACCTTGCTTTTGTGTGTTCTTTATCCACACATTCATGAAATACATTTTCTATTTCATATATGGTCCCTACTGCCAACTCAACCACTTTTATTATTTCATTACTTAACTATTTCATTTCATCTCCATCAATGAAATACACTTTCTATTTCATTTGGGGCCCAATTAATTTTTAATACAACTAAATTTCACCACTTACCTTCCCATCCCCACATTTCCTTCTTCCTTATTCAGCTAACGGGACCCGCTCATTCCTCATGTCTCTCTCTCACCCATTTCATTTAGTGGGAGACTTCATTTGGGAAACACCCTCCCACATCCATGAAATTGGTTTATGAAATGCCACATCACTTTATGAGCGCGAGACTCTGGCGTAGATTCCCTCGATTTTGATCACTCCAGATCCTGTATAACCCTAGATCGACCTTGACAAGAACAAGTGAGAAGAATATGAGGAAAGTTGAAAGTGAATCGATGAAGGGGATCGAATTACTTCCCCTTTGTGTTTGCCAAACGACAACGAATCTGAGATGTGGTATGGGCTGGGCCTGTCTTATTTAATTTGTGAATTCTAATCAGGGCCTGCTTCTCTATTTGACACGCAGCGTTTTATGAACCAAATATCCTTCTCCTCTTCTCAAGCAAACTCGATTAACCTGCTCTGCACAAGAGCTAACCAAAAACCAAACGAAGAACACAAAAGAAAACTAGAAAACTGTAAACCAGTGAATCAAAACACAATTGGACACAGACACGATATTTTTACGTGGTATCCGGTGCTAGGTGATTAATGAACCTAACACCGACTAATCCACGGTAGGAGACTCTCTTCTTGAGATCTCCTACTTAATCACTATGATTGAGTTTCTCTTACAGACTTGGTGAATCCAGAATCAGCTCCCTGCTGATCGACCAATTGCCTTTCTTCTGGTGATTCAAACTCCCTGTTTAATCACCGTAGTTTTTCCGCTAATCTCCCTGACTTGCTACAACGATTTCACACAAAAGACTACAGCTCTCTTAGTACTCTGTTTTGTTGAATCGCTTAGGAAAAACTTAGCTGCTACTAATCTCTCATTCAACCTATATACTGCTGTGGATTTGAGAGCCGTTGAGGATGAATCAGCCTGATGAAGGCAAGTAATTTATTCTTTCCTTTTATGCTTGATCATGATCTACACAGCTAGCCAGCTTTCCTTATTTGTCTTTTCATCCTTCGTGACGTGATGCATTATGCAACTTCCTTCTCTCAACATTCTCCCCCTAAGCATGTCATTTGCTCTAATGTGTTGATCCGTAATTCACCTGCACATCTTAACAAATGATTGGTGCAGCCTGTCCTATACAAACCATTCATTCATAGGCACAACGAAATACTAGATACAAGGAAGTTCGTTTTATTCGAAAAGACTTTAGAAATCACTCAACTCATTCAAATACTGACACTATGATCGACAGGGTTTCAAAACACAATGACCGACAAAACTTCAAAGCTACCCTATCTGGATTTTCCTTATGAACTCCCCTAGACTGGTTCTCCACTTCAAAAATCATACTCGGGTGGAGATTCATAATCAGATATTCCTTCTGTTTCTTCATCCTGAGAGGTTGAAGAAGCAGACTCCTTTGCCCTCTTGATCTGAGCATGATGAAACTCTAAACCAATTAGTTCCTTGCGCTTGATAGCAGTGATTCTGTCAAGTACTGTAGACACAACCTCCAGGAGTGCAGGAACCAATTGGCCATTAGATGTTGCAGGAGCAGCCTCCACATAAGCAAGGGTATCAGCAGACTCTCCCCCTGAGCAAATGACAGGCTTTCTCCTACCAACTTGGGCATCAACACGAGTAAGGATGTGTTGAGCACGTAGGTCCTCTCGGACATCACACACAATTAGCTTATCACGAAGATCAATCCCTATCCTATGGAGAAGACGTGTGATTTGAGGACCAAATGGGAGAGGACTAGAGTAATTCTCGTCACCATAGTTGATCATATGAGCAAACATAAGTGCAGAGAAGTTGAGTTGGATTCCATCGCGAGCATTGGCCATAATCCAAGCATCAGCAGGATGTACAAGTTCATTTGGTGATATACTGCGAGGGAGCAGTATCCTTGTGATGAAGAAGTGAAGTACCTTGAACCGATCAGCAAGACGACCAGCAGACAACATGGAGGGATAGTACCTCCCAATATCATGAGTAAGGGATTCCATGGCAGAACCGAAGTCAAAGACAATGGAGGCAAAATCATCATTTGTGGCGGCAGAAGACCCAAGACAGGGGAGATCAAGAGTTTGAGCCATGAGGGAAGCTGTAACCTTGATTTCATGATTGTACACCACAGTGGTGAAAAAGGTAGGGCTGGAGCCAGGCCCACGCTTCAGACTAGCATAAAACATTCTGACTCCTTCAGGACACTGATTGAAACGTTGATTCTCAAAAAGAGAATCCCAGCCAACCTTGTGAATGAGACTAGGAATGTCAAGATCATACTTTCTGAAGGCAGAAGGTTGAATGGGAAATGACGGATAGAGAGGACGATTGTGAAAGTATTTGAGATACCTAAGGTATCGAGAAAGCTTATAGAATCCATGATTGTTGAAGGTGGCAGCAGGGTGCAGTGGAGAGTTGTTTGGGGCCATTGTAGAGAGGTATGAAAGCAAAGGGAAAAGGTTCTGAGTTGATGGTTCGAAGGCAAAGGGTTGAGGGTGATTATATAGAGTAGAAGTAGGGTGGAAGTGGAAAGAATACGAGTGTAAGGAAGGGAAGGATTAGGGAAGACAGATATGGCAATAGGAAATGAGAGAAAGAAATCTTGTAGATTTCAGAAGATTTCAGAGATTTCTTCCATCGAGAAGAGGCCCAGTTCTCTCCTAATGGGAATAAATTTGTCGGCTCCCAAAGGCTTAGTGAAGATATCAGCCCACTGAAAATCAGTGCTAATAAATTCAAGATGTATTTTCCCTTCCTGGACTAGATCTCTAATGAAATGATATCTAACCTCTATATGCTTAGTCCTAGAATGCTGAATGGGATTCTTTGTCATGTTAATAGCACTGGTGTTATCACACATGGGATTTTTTACAAGTCTTTCGTTTCTTATTTTGGTTTATGAGTCATCAAGGGCATTTTGGTAAAATTAGTACCCGGTCGGGTTAGGGTGTGTCATGGTTCGAGTGGTTAACTGCTCGGACGGATGAACTTGACAGTCGATTTAAAACTTCTAGCCACTAGTCTAATAAAATTTGGATTCTAGGCTTTGAACCCAGGTCACACACAAAAATTGGTGTTATCATTATTTTGTGTTATGTTAATATCAATGTTTTAGAAACCCTAGCATGTCAGCTGGTCGGACTAAAAATATCGGGTACCTTACCCCACACGTTAGGTGAAACGGTTGAACCATAATTTAACTATGATTTTAGTACAAAATACCATACCACTAACTTTACCGGTATAACTTTCGGTACGGTCTCACAATCATTGATTCATTGATGCCCCCACTGCCGGTTCAGGGATTACTCGATCCTGGTTCAGGCGGAGAAAGAAGATGCTTCAGGGATGCTCCCGTTGCTGGATGCGTCTTCGTCGACGAGAAGAATGAATTAGGAGAGGGTATGAGTTTTCTTTGACAGTGGAAGACTCCAATGTGGGAGGGATGGTAGTAGAGTTTCATTATTAGTTAGGGGTAGTTGGGTCATTTCTGACCAAATTTTACGGTGAGAAAATAGAATATCCAATGAAAGGGTATTTCCGTTACATAATAATAATACAATTGTAAAATAGTATAAGGGTATGTTTGTTAATTCATAATAGTAGAGGGACAAAAAATGTTTTTATCCCTTTAAGAAATATATTATGTTGGAGAGCATTAAAATTTCTGAATCGCTATTCGTCGCCCTAAAATTCAAATTTTATCGCCCTAAAATGCATTAAATTGACACATTTACCCTCTAGCCCTAATTTCTAACCAAATAACAATAAGGTTACTGGTCATCTTCCTCCATGAGAGAGATCGCTTCTTCATTTTGGTTAACACGGAAACTTCCTCCTTAGAAATGTATTTCAACCGCTTCTCAAAATCATCGTCGTCGTGTAGTCTAGAAATAGTATTATAAACCCTATACATAATCCCCTTGCGATTTTTCTTATCGGTTGCGGCATTAACCGCCTCCTAGTACTCACTCTCCACCTTGTTGTTCGGCTTCTCCTCCCCCATTGTTATTCTCCCTCTCCGATCGCCTCCTCTTACAGGTCGTAATTCCGGTGGCTTGATTCCGACTCTCAAATTTGAATTAACGACGGAACAATCACGAGGAATGGAGACCGATGGATAAGGCGAGAACGATAGATTAACCAACAAGATAACAGAAAACGTAGAAGAAAGTACAGGAAACGGAACGGACCGTGTTACCGCCGGCAGCACAAGAAAGTTCCCTAGCTTGATTGAATAATGTATAGTTTCTCTGTGTTTGTTTTAGCATTCATATGTTTTGAAAAACAAATATTAAACTAAGGATAATTAAGTGATTTCGATAAAAATTAAGGCGACAAATGAGGTATTTTAGGACGACGAATAACAATGTCCTAAAATTTTGGAGGTTTAAGACTTTAAATCATCCTATGTTTATGAGTTATGTATTTTATTTTAAATTTTAAATTTAGTGTATTACTATGAGCTGCTCATCACACCAGTTCAATTCTGATAACATTGTTCAATACTTTTTGATTAATTGGAGATCCTACATAATAAGAAACAGAAAGAGATCCCTATTTGTTGACCCGCTCCTTAAGAAAGCAGAATATCTTGTCGTAATAGCTAGTCAAACCCAAAGATAAAACAAGAAAACCACCACAGGAAGAGAACGACCAAATTGAAGTCACCAAAAAAAAAAAAAAAAAGGACATGCGAGTGCTAGTTTCTTTTATACAAAACGAGTTCTACTGCTTGTTCTTGTTCTTGGCATGTCTTTCACAGAAGGCTTTAATCCTCCCAAGCGCAACTTCTAGCGTTGCAGGCTCGATCGCAAACGTTATCCGAAGCCAACCCTTCTGTCCCACAGTCGTGCCTGCAGCAGCCCCATCAAGCACAGCAATCAATCCACAATTTCCATCCCAATTTAATTTCATGGATGCAGAAATGTAAGTGGCTGTGTTCATCAAAGTTACCTGGTAGAATTATGACAGATTCCTCCTTTGCTAGTTTGAGACAGAAATCCATATCATCCTTAATCCCCTCCAGTTCTGAGCACTCCAGTTTCACCTATAATGATACAAGATTTGTCCAATTAACTCCTAATAAGCAGCTGGATACACCCACAAACAGTTTATAGCGTGAGTTGCAGCACTACTCACCATGGCAAACATGGAACCTTCTGGTTTCTTGGGACAAGTGATACAAGCAATGTCCTCAAGCCTCTCGTAGCATAGATCTACAGCCTCTCTTAACAACCCATTGATTCTCGCAAAGAAACTCTCTTTAGTGTTGGCCAATATCTGAGGAACTGCAGCCTGCAATCAGAATAAGGAACGAGTTTTTATCTCAAATAACTCGAGAATTTGAATGTTTATTGAAGTATTATTTGAGTGTATCATCACTAACCTGAATGAAGGTTGGAGGATCAGGAGAGGTGTTGAGCGAGCCTCGAATCAAATCAACAAACTGGACCAAAAACAGAGAGAAACCCAATTTGTCAATTAATCAATGAGAAAAAGAGTGACTAACCAGAAAAAAATTTCAATCGTGGAAAATTGATTGATTGACAAGAAGGGTTGGTTTAAAGAGGCAAACCCCTGAATTTCTGAGAACGTTGTTGGGATCACTAATCACCAGCCACCCGAGCCTCCACCCAGGAACAATCCACCGCTTCGAAATCGACCCGAGCGTGATAACCGGCGCAATCGACCCGAAAACCCCCATCGCCACAAACGGGTTGGACCCGAACGCGAGGTGCCCATAGACCTCGTCGGCGATCACCAGAATCCCTAGCTTTCTCGCGGTCTCGGCGATCTTCTTGAGGTGCTCGTAGCTGTAGACGTTCCCGCATGGGTTCCCCGGGTTGACGATGACGATGGCGGCGGTGTTGTGGTCGGTCAGGGACTCGACGGCTTCCAGATCGACCTCCCAGCCGTGGTCGGAGAGGAGGCCGTAGTGGCGGACCTCGAGGTTTCTGTTGGCGGCGCAGGCGTCGTAGTATGGGTAGCCGGGTCGGGGCAGGAGGATGTTGGATCCGGGTCGGGCGAGGGTGGTGAGGGTGACTTCGATGGCGTGGGCGCAGCCGAGGGTCATGAACACGTCTTCAGGGGAGAGCTCGTAGGGGAGGCCATTGTTGAGGTATCCTGCGATTGCCCTGTCATTGGCAAATGGAAACACCAAGAACAAACGTTAGTACGTTACAATCACGAGGAAGGCCAACTTTTGGGCTTGCGCAGAAGTCAGCATCAAAGTAGCCCAGCTAGAAACATAAGAGTCCAGGCCTGTAGGATACGGGACAGACACACTTTTAATTGGTGGACCTAGCCCGGCCCAGGATTTGAACTTCCCGTCCCTTATTTAATTATTTATAACGGAGAATTTACGTTTTCAACTAGATAAACAATTTTTTTTGAAGAAACCTAGATAAACCATTGAACCGGGGGAAAAAATCTAGGGGTCGTTTGGATTAGTGTTTCTAATGAGGGATTTGAGCACAATCCCTCACAATGAGAGATTTTAATTAAAATCACTCGTTTGGGAAATAATTTTTCGATTAGAGATTTTAAACATTCAGAATTTCAGAAACCCACATTTGTGGGATTGTGAAATAGCTGATGACCACCAGCTATTTTGAAATCCCTCAATATTTTGCCAATTTATTCCATATATGCCCATACTATTTTTCTGAAAATCCAACTCTACCCTTCTTCTATTAACCCTTCGTAACTCTGCATCTCCTTCGATTCTGTCTCTCTGTCGCAGCTGCGGATGCGAGCATATGTTCTACTCCTACCCAAACGAAGCAGCTCGAAGACGAGGGAGTGGCTGCCGCCGAGTGCTGACCGGCGGCGACTCAGCTTCGCGGCGTAGGAAATCTGCGGCGACCAAACATTCTTCGATCTGGTGAGTTTGCGCCTCGGAACCTTCATTCTCCGTTCTTCCTCCTTCGCTCCTCTCGGGTTCTGGGTTTATTATAGCTTGATTGTGGTTGTTTGCCGAAGTATAGCAGAGGTACCAACAAATCGTTTCTCGTCTCGTGGTTGCTTGATTCTGGGTTTATACTTTATAGATTGGTTGTCGTTGCTTCTCTGATTTGTTTGTGGCGGCAACATAGTAGTACTCGATTTTGGTTTATTTCAGAGTTAAATGGAAACAAATGCAATATTGCCGTTGTTCCTTTTCATGGCAATAGACAAATAAATGAACAAAAATGCAGTCTTGCTACTGCTTCTTTTCATGACAGACAGTATAAGGACAGATAAATGGAAACAATGCAATCTTGATGCTGCTTCTTGCTACTGCTAAATGGAAACAAATTCATAAACAACACATGCAAAGGAAGAAAGCTCCAGCAAGGAGAGTGACGTGTGTAATGGCGGAGAAGAAACAGGATACGTGTAGATATATATATTTAAGGGTAAATTTGTGACTTTACATTTTCATTATAAAATCCCACATTTGTTGCCAAACAAGTGATTTGGTGAAAATCTCACTCAATTCTCTTGAATTAAAAACCTGGGTTTTACAAATGAGTGATTTGATCTTAAATTCCTCATAAATCACTCATATTAAATTTCCTAATCCAAACGACCCCCTAAAGAAATTAAATGTTGATTGGTTTGTATGGTGAAAGAAAGCCCAATATAGGTATATGCACTGTACACTAAAGAAAATCGCAGAGCCCAGCCAGGCCCACCTCCGATTACCAAGTTTCACCGTCGGCAGTAAAAAATAAATGTGTCACGTGAAAGCTGTGAGGGAGGACCAGCAAAAATCGGGGCCTAAATTGGGGGATACGGACTTTGTCTTCTTCCACCCCTAACGTGTTCCTTAAATTATTACGCTCGCCCTTTCCTCGACTCTTCTCCTACTAATAATATCTCTAATTTCCATTTTTCATTTATTCTACTTAATATTTATTAGTTCATTCTTTTAATCCCACATTCAAAAATATTTGTATTTGACCAATGAGCAACCCACTTGTGTACTTGATCTACGAGGACACGTCACTGTAGAATATATAACGATGGAATGGAATCTCATCTTGACCAAAAATGTTGATGATATAGTATGTATATATCATTATTACGACATTATTTTCTATGGAAAAGGACAAGTCTCAGCTATCTGCTACTACTCTTCCAATTCTGTAGGTTGTTTGTTAATGCTAACAATTAATTAATATTTAAAGGGTTTCTTTGTTCAAATTAATGTTTTCCAGCAAGGTGATTTTATTAATTTTGTGGATTCTTTTGAACAGCTAGTCCTTAAGATAAGGGATGGTTGGTGACACAATAGTACAATTAATTTTAAGCCGTCTTCCACGAGGGTTAATGAAATATATTCACTCCCAGAGATTCCCTTTCCAAAATTTAAAACTAAAACAATCGCTTCACTCGAGATATGGAATATGCTCTATATTTCAACTCTTTATTGTGAATAATAAATATATATGTACGTTTCCAGCAAGGGCAAAAAAAAATAAATTGATTGCTTAAATCAGAATGGTAGTACGAAGAAAGAAGGGAAAGAAAGAAGATATCACTCTTCCTTTTTTAATATAAAGGAAAACGCGTTACGTTTTATGATTCGATTTAGGGGGGGAACACAATTTACTGTTTGATTTCTAACCTTAAATATGAGCACGCGAAATTGCCATAATTAATTTTCATACAAATAAAGACTATTTCTTGACGTTTAGGGTAAAAGTTAAACCCATAACTGACCTTGTACATAAATGACTCCAAATTATCTTCTAATAACTGTTGTTTTTTTTCAAAAAAGGAATGGATGACAGATGACTGCAAATCTCCACAAAAAAATGAGTTCGGATGTCAACACTTTTTTTCCTTTTCATGCGAGCTCGGACAAATCTAAACGATTGCAATGAGAAATAGCTAACAATCGCTTTCGCAACGCTCTCAATGCACCCTAATCGCAGTTCCTACGTTTCGTATACCAACTTAATCTAGAAAAAAGCTTGTAACAACTTAAAAAATTCGAAATTTGAAACCAACAACCAACCATCGAATAGAAGCACACAAAATTTGTGACTAATGTTAGAAATAAAAATAAAAAAAAAGAGTTGGAAGATGGATAGGCAGACTGACCTTCTAGCCGGAAGAATGCCGGCGGACGGACCATAGGAGTTGAACTTGCCGGACCGGACCGCATCGACAATGGCGTCTTCCGCCGCCGAGTCGGTACGGAAACAAGGGAACGACGAAGGGTCGCCGTGGCCCAGCTCTATCAGCGGCCTCTGGTCTTCCTTGTTCAGGTTGTCCATCAGAGCGAACCGGACCTCCCGGATTGTGGCTACCGCCGCCTTTGACCGCGCTTTGCCGTTGCCGTTGCCGTTTGCAGCGCCGTTCGCCGCCGCCTGAAAATGCCAGACTTTCTTCGTTCCGTTTTCCATGGCGGCCGCCTCTTCTCTGAATAAATCTTCTCTTTCTCTGTCTTGCTCTGTTTCCGCTGCGGATTTGTGGGGAGGCTTTTTAGTTTTTCCTGTGCCTGTAACCGGCTGTTATATAGAGGCAGAGCTGCAGGGTTTTCGCTCTTTTAGAAGGGAACGGAACGACAACGTACGAGCAGTTCCATATCCTGTGGTCGGCCTCATTAAAATAAATAAATAAAATTCTTAATTACAATTACAAGTAGGTAGGAGCGGTCTCAATGGTGTGCAATAATCGGGTTCCATCAGTTTGGTCCGGATCGGACCGGACCGTTATACATAGTCCTAGCGGTCATATTTCGGGCTGGTCAGACCAAAACTAAATAGATACGAGGACTGGTTATCCACCTTGGCTTAACTCAATTTTAATTCGATTCGTCTACTTTTTTCTGTGATTGGCTTGTTCAAATTGAAATGACAATAATATTGGTCAACTTTGTCTGTTCAATCCGACTTAATTAGTTAAGTTCTTGTGTGCAGAGGTAGGAATTCTCCAATTTTCATTAATAAATAAAAAAAATTAGTAGACAAAATTTTCTAGCTGAGAAAAAACCTCCCTCTCTTTTCTCTACATAGTTTCCTTGCGGCGTCTCTCAATTGATCCAAGTAAATAAAATTTATAATATTTGGTTAATACATGGTTTTTGGTTCATGAATTTGATTTGTGGTCTATTCGAGAATTGAAGATCTATTCAAATGGAAAGAACTGTCATCATTTGGGAAAAGAAGATACCGATGTGAGACTAACCAAGCATGAATGCATACTCTCACACTTGATTTCGTGGTATATATTATATAAGGTTCGTAACACGGTTAATGATTATGTTATTAAACCTTTTATTACTAAAAACCCAAAACATTAAGACAAACTTTTTTCCCCCCTATACTCAAAACCAAACTGCTAAGGTGAATGATTTACCGAAATCATTAAGGATCCATAGGTTGGTTTCAGGTTTCAACCAACATAGGAATTTTTTGGCACATGACTGGTTCGATTTCTGGTTAACCAAAAAAACCCAAACCAGCCCTAATGTTACAGCCGTGGCGTGTAGTCAAGTGGGATTTTTATATATAATAATAACTATTGAGAGATAGAAATAAAAGGCCGACAGAAACATCAGACTTGGAGGGCAAGAAGAACACACATGTGGAAGTTGAAGTGTCTGGTCCAAACTCCTTACCAAACTTTTCAAACTACACAGCGGCCTGCGCCAGCCCGGTTTTGGTTACTACTTACCAACTTCCCTTCCTAATTAAATATGCTTGCAGCGTTCGTTCTTGTTTGGACTGGCTGATGGGGTGGATAGAATTTTGAAAATGGAATCTGTCGACCATGGGTTTTTATAAAAGTTGAACAAACAATTGGGGTTTTATAATTCACTAACCCTTCATTGCAAATAAAATGAAATGAAAATTAAGATAATAAGATAGGAGATACTTTTGGTATAAAAAACATAAATCGGTGGAACAATAGAAGACTTGTTTTTCTTCATTGAATAATAATAGATGACTGGTTTAATGAGAAGATAAGAGTGATTACTGGTAGAGGATTGACTAAGTGGGCAAGATTGGCGGTTGAAGATATAATCAAGCTTGTCAATCCGATTTCGATTCGTTGGCTTGGTCGAGAAAGTGAGGTAAACATTAATGGTCAAATGGATTTAGGTTAGTAGCGTAGAAAAAAAAATTAAAACAATTATTATATTGTGCATATATAAGCGCTGTTGTAAACCACCGAGTCTTGCTCGAACGAAGTTTGACCGACTGTTCAGGTCGCACGTTGACAATCATGGGTATAGTAAAGGGCTTAGAGTTACTCTTTTGATTCTGAGTGTAGATTTGATGGTCTTTCAATCTCTTATACATTTTAATCGGCTAGTACATTCTTTGTTTAATTTTATGTATCTTCATGGTGTAATGTGGTAAAAAAAATTTGATTAATCTTTTGTATCAAAAACTTAAAGTGAATATCATTCTATAGTGAATAATAAATCTGATTTTTCTTTGCACAAAAAAATGATTACAATAAATAAAACATAGTACATTAATTTTAATGCAGGGTTGCCTAACTTATGGATACTGACTAGTTTTGTTTCCACAATAGAGCTCTCATCATAAGAAAATTTTGTACAACTGGTTATGAAATCATGATAATATCTACTTTGATTATGTATATGTAGTTTACACGATACAACCAATCAGTGAAATATGGCATCACAAACGAGATCGGATAGCGTGACAATCCCTAACCTTATAGTCATTCGTTCCCTTTCTTATTTGACGGTGGTGATCACGCCAAGATGGAAAGGAAGGGAAGCAAAACTGACAACCCCTTAGGGTTGTCACGCTATCCAATCCCCGTCATAAACATATAAAAGCCTAGGAAGGTCATTTGGGTGGCCCAATCGCCTCTAAGGTGGGTCCAGACTACCCAAACCCTAGAAGAAAGCCCATAACCCATTTATGATGATCACAAGTTCTGTTTCAAGTCCAAAATTATGTGTGGCAATATAAGACTCCAGAAACTGAGTTTTCTCTATAAAAAAACTAACCCTAGGACAAGAAAACCTTATCACTAACCTATGAATACATATCTCTTAGCACTCCGAATGAGAAATCTGGATACCTACTGATTAGAGGTTCACTTCACTCTCAAGACTCATTCGTAAGCTTTGAAAGAAGAAGGGGCAGTTCTCGACATTCCATAGATGCCTCCCAAAAGAGAAGATAGATCCACTTATTGCTTTTCTAATAATTATGTATATTTCTTTTATCACGAGTGGCTAAAACACTACTGTTGTTTTTAAGTTTCCGGTGCTATTCTCATTATTTGAATGCATAACTATCGAGTTTTTTTCCCTTCTATTTCGTTATTCATGTGTTGTTTATATTCGCCATTAAACCAATGAAGAAATATATGTGTAATTTCTATATAGTAATCCAAAGAAAACCATGATTAATTAGGATTCATTTTTCTTTCTTTATCAAACATACCAAATGACTCACACAAATCACTAGTATACTATTTAAACATTGGCTACAACCTTTTAACTTCCTCAGCACACCAGATTTGCGATTACCAACTATGTGTGGATTCCATGTCGTGCAAGTATGAATTTTTCCCAGAAAGCTATGCCGTTGGTGCTTGTATTCATGCTTATCAAATTTGGCATTGGGGCTGCGGATATTGTCGTTTACAAGAGAAGATTTAAACGGACTTTAAATGCACATTTTGAGGTCCCGTAATTAAACAACCAAAGGGGCTGAACCCGTAGAATATTGCTTCCCTTTTCCTTTATTAGAAAAGTATTAGCGGCTGGCTGCTGAGTGCAGAAACAAAATAAAGGCACACAATGAAATTTCTAGGTTTCCACTTTCCTCTATTTGCCTTTTTTAGTGAATTACCAGGAAGGTTCTTAATAATTATGGAAGAAAAACATTTTTTAGCGCACGTTAGCAAGTTAATTAAGTCAACTCCTTTGTGTGTATTTAATGCGAGCATATGGGTTGATTGCACAACGTGGAAACACACCTTTTAAATGTGTAAACAGAGAAGAACATAATAAAAATACACGTCGGTCTGTATAACCAATTCTGTTTATGGTGCTTGGGGCTTTCCCTCGACCATAACTGGTCTAGACCACAAGGATATTAGGGAAGGAAAAAAAAAAAAAGATTAATTTGTAAGAACTATTCCCTCATTTTCATTTTTTTGATTTTCGATTAACAAACCTTTTTTTTTAAATAAAGGTGTGAATGAACTCCCATTAGTTCATATTCTCAATATAATAAGATTAACATCGACATGATTTGAATTCTCTTTTTGTTAATGATTTTGGGGTTTATTATATTTACTTATATTAGTGATGACAATTTCTGATCTGACACGCGTGTCCCGATTTGTTTGGGACGAGTATTAGCCAATTTCTGACCTGAAATCCATTATTTTTTAGGTCATGTTCGAGTTTCTTCTCCCGAATCGCCAATTGATCTCCAATTGACTTGAAACTTGCGCCTATGCTTCACTTTACGTGCTAGGACCTGAAATGTGACAAAGGAACACAACCTATCATAAAATAGGCCAAAAAAGCACAAACTAGAGCAAAAACGATCCAGAAATGAGAGTGCAAACATGTGCAAGCCAAATATGATGCTATCAGCAATATACAATAATTGATGGATTTTTGTTGGAAAGTAAGCTATTGTGGATAAAAAAAAATTAAACCTAAAGTTGCACCTAGAAAAAGCCATTAAAGCCCGAAAATCAAAATCACGAAAAACTAGCACGCACCTGATAGGTAGCATAGAAAAAATTGAGAGAAAAGACCAAAAGAAAAACTTAGATAAAGATACTTCTTATGAGTTGGTCAAAATGGACTCCGAATCTAATTGACATTTCTTCAAAGCAGTTGCACCATTTTTAGGTAAAGCCATAGCAATGTCTGACAAATAGATAGTCAGGAACACATAACTTGAAATAACGCTTTGGAGAACATTAAATATGCAGACAACTCTTAATCAATGCACCACTATCCATTTGGATTAATTCCCTAGTCTAAAGAATATAATATACACTTTCTCATTTAAGACATCGCCAATTCAAATTTTCAGTATTTCTATTAATCCATGTCAACACCTCTCCCACCAATCAGAATTCAAATAAAACTAAAAAATATATATGCAATCATCATTACTTAGTTATGAACTTGCGACCTATTCAACCCTGTTATTATCTTTCAAGACATTTAACCAATACGATAAGTTCTATTTGATGTTATTAACCACAACAATATCTTCTCTTAACATATATTATGGTGGTTGTTGAGCAACTTTTTGTCACGTAAGACTTAGGAAACTCTACAATTTTCCACGACATATTTATCATTTTAACTTTTCTTCCTAAATGTGTTGTTGAAATTTTTGGAGCTTTCTAAGTCCTATGTGACAAGAAGTTGCTCAATAACCACCATAAGATATATTAAGATAAGATATTGTTGTGACTAAAAACATCAAATAGAACTTATATATTGTTTAAATGTCTTAAGTTGTAATAATTGGGTTGTTGAATAGGTTGTTGGTTCAAAACTAAGTAATGACGATTGCATATATTTTTCGACTAATACCACTACAACGCCCGAACTATCCGAAAAATGCCACTTGTGTCCTATTGTTTCCAATATTCCATTCATGTTTTGAACTATGATACTGTGTGTCATTTGTATCCTGTCAATTTCGTTGACCGATAAAGATAACGGTTGACCAAACGGTGGTCAACGCGAAGTTGACTTTTGTTGACGTGGCAAAAAATGTGGCTTCCACATAGATGCCACGTCACTGTTCTCATATTTTTTAAATTCAAATTAAATAAAAAATTGGGTCAAAATTAAAAAACTGTAAATTCAATTATATTATTAAGCCCAAATTTTAAAACAAAATAATTAAAAATTCCATTATTCTTCTTCCCTACTGATTCGCCCTCTCTTTCTCTAAAAAATCTCCAAGACGATTCTGATTTCCAATCAATGAAGCCGCCGCATCATCTCCTTCTTCGCCCAATCCGACCCGGCAATGAAGACGATTCCGATTTCCATTTTCCAAGCAATGAAGTCGCCGCATCATCTCCTAACTTACCCCAATCCGACCCGACAATGAAGGCGATTCTGATTTCCCAGTTCCCATCAATGGCGAGATTCAGGGTCTCCCAGCTCCACTTCAATGGCAGATCTGACTATGTCGCAGTCGTGCTCCAGCGACAATCTCTGATTTCTTCGTTAGATGGACTCTCTTCTTTTCCCATCGCCTCCAAATCTGAAGGCGATTTGCTTCCCATCATTCTCATCCGATCGCCTACAAGGCCACGTCGAGATCGAGAGCCACCTACGCTTCCTTTGTCGCGTTTGAAAAGCCAACTAAAAATGGAGTGGCTGTAATCTCAGTCGGACCCTACCCGAATTCTCAAACCCCAAAAGGAGTCGAAGATTGATATTGAAAAGAATCAATAGGAATCCCCTCGAATTTCTGGGGCACATAAAGGAAAAGAGAAACAGATCGATTGATGCACAAAGAACAAGAGGAATTGGAGGGGCAGAATTTTCAAAATTCAACAGTGGTCAATCCTTGAATCGCTCGATCCCTCAAGACCCCGGTGTACAGAGCCCATCTGTTCGCCGACATTCTCCTCTCCTGCGGCGGTGAAAGACGGCATATCTTCAGCGACGAAGACAGCTCTCACCGCCGTCCAAAATCGGAAGACTAGCTCCCCTGCCTCCTCCGTCGTAGTCGCAGCTGAAGAGCAGCTCCCTTACTCGATCAAATTAGGTGGGCATTGTTATTGGTGCTTTGATTCACCAATCCGCGATGTGAATTCCAGATTTGCGATGTAACAATGGGTTCCTCGCAAATCCAGGCCGATTTGCAATGTGTACTTCGCCAATCCGACGGATCTGGGTCCTGACTCCTGAGCTCTGCGGCGGTGGAAGAACGACATCAAGCTCGTCGGTTCTGTTTTCGCAACCGTGGCGCCGGTGGATCATTGTGAATGGTGGTGAACAAGAAGGGTGAACCGGGGAGAAAGGATTGAGGGTGAATGGTGGAGATGAAACGTTTTTATTTTCATTGTTTTTTATTTTTATTTTTTATTAAATAAATTAAAATTTCACGTCATGTGCCACATCAATGCTGACTGGACTTTCTGTTAAATACTAACGGTCAAAATGAGTCAACCTTAACAGAAAAATAGTTGATGACATGAATGGAATATTGGAAACAATTGGACACAAGTGGCATTTTCCGGATAGTTCGGGTGTTGTGGTGGTATTAGCCCTATATTTTTTTATAGTTTGAGATTAGTATAACTTAGAATTAGGAAGAAAGGTTAAACTGATAAATATGTCGTGGCAAATTGTGGAGCTTCCTAAGACCTACGTGGCAAGAAGTTGCTCAACATATATGCTAAAATAAGATAAGAAGATTGGAGAACCTATATTTGATTCACCTAGTAATTTCATTAGTTATTGGTTGTATTTTGATCAACGTGGGTTGAAACACCTAGGCTTCTTAATGCATAAAGATTATAACGTCGTATTAAGCATCATGTTGGACACACAAAAAAAGTTAGGATTTAGCTACGGTGACTTTTAAGTTGCTGTGACTTGAACATTCGATCGATCGTGAAAAACAGTTAACCGGATGGTACAATTCTACCCGTACAAATGAAATGAATGATCGACCGGAAACAAAAATGGCCGATCGATTGGCCGTTAACTTATCAGTGTTGGAACATGATCCAACACTAGAAGGGTTTCATTGCGAAATAAAGACTTTACTACCACATAATCTGAGTCAATGACAACATAAACCTCTATAAATAACCATCTATGTTATTATTTATCACTCTGAAAATAGTGTAAACAAATTCTTGTGGCTATGAAGGTTGGTGAAGAAGAAATTACATTATAATATCAAATGTAGTTGTTGGTGCAATCTAAGTAGATCAACAAGTCCACCTTGCCAGTTGTATAACGACCTATCAGCTGCAATCGCGGGGTTTGTTGTGTTTAGAGCACACTCTCTATGACGTTGGCTTGAGGTATGAATATATCCTTAACCCTAACTGGTCGACCTCTCCATGGTGCGGTTGGCCAATTTTTGTCTAAACATGAGCATTTTCGTCATCAGGTCGACCACAACATATAAGTGGTTGATCATTTCATTTGTCATGGTTGAGTCCCGTTGTAAGTGTGTCATCCTGTTGACCGTTTTGTGGAAGCGATTAACTATTTTCTCCAATTCATGATGACTTGAAAGTTGAAAGTAACAATAGGCATACCCTTTTGGGTAATTCTTCTATAGACGACTAACTTTTCTAAATAGTTTTAAGTTAATGATATTTTAATGTTCATGTGGTGTGTACTATATATGTAATAGATCATATGGGCAATCTAGTTACTTAGGTAAATCGAGTTACATGTAAGTCAAATGGCTCAATCGAATTATGAGTAACCGGGTTGAGGTTAATCAGCATTCTAGCAGGAACCGGTTGAAGTGATTGGACTCATGGGTCGGGTGGGTTGCTCAATTAGCTTACTTTCACAAGCTATACAGATCACTTTCAGGTTCGAATATTCGTAGAGTTCAAACAATTGGGTTATCTTTTAGTGACATGAGAACATGTCTTCTCTTCTATCATTTCTCGCAGTAGAGTAGCAATTAGGGATGGCAATGGGGCGGGTATGGGGCGGGTTTGCCTAAACCATCCCCATCCTCATCTTCAAATACTCAAACCCATACCCGCCCCATACCCATGCGGGGGAATGTTTTGCAAACTCATCCTCATACCCGTGGGTTTCGGGTACCCATGGGTAATACCCATCCCCGTACATCCAACATTATTATACCTAAAACTTACAAGAAAAGTTTTAATTATAACCATAAACAAACCTATTATATCACGAAGTCAACAAAACACGGTCATTTTCTAAATACAATTCAAAGAATATGATCCTAAAACATCCATTAATACATAATATAGACTATAATATTTTTTAAATTATTATGCTCTAACTCTTGATACATTTACTAAGTAATAATTAACTAACATAATTTTGTTGACAAGGGGGAAAGTGAAAGAGTGGAAGGAGAATTGAGGGAAATGAATTAGGTTTTGATTAAGGTGGTTACTCAATTGCATTTCTACTATTTATTTTCTCGAGTTATCATCATCATCATTGATAGATTACAATTTAATCCACGTATTTTTTTATATGTGAAGAAATTCTCTTGGTGGGGCGGGTATGGGTATGGGTATGGGGCGGGGGAGGCTAAAACCATACCCGCCCCATACCCATCAAACCTTTTGCGGGTTTTACCCATACCCGCCCCATACCCGGTCAAAGTGGGGATTCCCCGCGTTGACTGGGTATGGGGCGGTCGGATACCCACGACCATGGGTTTGATTGCCATCCCTAGTAGCAATTGAGTATAACCTGTTTTACTCAGCAATCTCAAATCTAAAGAGTGCCGTCCCGTTCTTCTCTTCTTTCATTCCTGGTAGTAAAGTAGCAATTGAGCTTAACCTGTTTTACTTAGCAATCTCAAATTTAAGGGCCCGTTTAGTATCATTTTGTTGTTGTTGTTGTTGCAGTGGCGTTGTGTAAACAGATATACAACCACAACAAGAAAAAAACAGAAAACACAAACCTGTTTAGTTGATAAATCTGAAAAATCATGAAAGCTGACAACAAGAAACAAAAACGCGTTTAGTTACTACTGTAAGAACTAAAAACAAAAAAAAAAAGAGATATGTCCTCAATATTAAGCAAAGTCTCACAAAATTCAATATACCTAACATCTTTCATGTTCCTTACCTAACATTCATTTTAATTAGTATTATTATTATTGAAAAGAGATTGATTTATTACCTTGACAGCACTTTCCCAAACATGTTCTTCTGCACTAACAAAACCAGTTGAAGCTTCATATCCCACTCCAGTATGACTAAGCAATGTCTTGAAAGATCTGAGTCTACCCCTTAACCCATTAAACTTATTCTTCACTTGAGTCTTAGTATAGTCTCTTTTCAACCGCTCTTTCAAACCAGCAATGAGATTGGCGAATCCAGTTGGTGAAAAGGTTGAAGTAACACGATTTTCCTTTTTAACTTCTTCCACCAAAAGATCAATGAACACAGATTCAGCTTTATCACCCCATATTTTGCTATCATCCCTCTCGCCATTATCATTTTTCTGAATCTCCACACAATCAACATCACCATTTTCAACAATTTTCTCCATAATTGCGGTAAACCACAAAACAAAGAACATAGCAATCAATCCAAATTCACAAAGAACATAGCAATCCTAAACACCATGAATTGTTGGAGAGACAGGCTCATCTACTGGTCTAATCATCCATCGTTCTTTGTTAATGAAAGGTGCATAACAATATAATGGAACGTCACTGACCATCTACAATTTGTCCAACCGAAATTCATAGAACATTCAATACAAGAGCAAGTAAAATTAGAGCACACTTCTTAATGACAGGGAACCCAATACACCGGAAGACTATACCTGAGCTGCAACTGTGTGTGCTGGGAAGTAGGGTTTTTGGGGGGGGGGGGGGGGGCTGTGTTAAAAAAAAAGAAAATTTTTTGCTTCTGTGGGGATTCAAAAACTGGTCTGTTTTAATGAAATCAAGCGCCCAACCAGTAGGAATCCCGTGTGCAACATTTTTAAGAATCAGATCCAAAGCTATAAATTGTTGTTTCTCATATTTGGGCCTTGTTGTGCAACTCTGATTCACAACAAAAATAAAAACCCAACTAAACACGTTTTTTTTCTTGGTTTTCCAAATTTCTTAAAACACAACAGGAAACAAAAACAAGCAACAATACTACGGGCCCTAAAGAGTGCCATGGCGTGGGAACAAAGGCAGCTCCGAAGCCGTCAAACTGCAGGAATAATTCTCATGGATAAGTGAAGAACGTTCAATCTGTGGAACTTTCAAGAGCAGAGTTTTCAATCGAGAGCCAACACGAAGTTGATCATCTCTGTTCTTTATTACAAACGGGTAGAATGTTCTTCAACTACTTCCAGTTCTCAACTAAGGGAACAGAAAGAAGAAATCACACAACTCATGTCCATACCATAAGGATCAACATTGAATGTTGATCCAGTCAACAACAGTTGACGATTGTTTGGGATCCAAACTTATTGCTTGCTACACATGAAAATTAAAAACTTCCCCACAGAGCTCATGATTGGAATGGATGAGGATCAACTTCCAGCTGTTGATCCAATTTTACTCGGTAAATTATTGCTTCTTGCCATGTCTTTTACAGAAGGCTTTCATCCTATCAAGGCCATCCTCAAGGGCAGAAGGTTCAATTGCAAAAGTAACACGAAGCCAGTTCTTCAGACCTACAGCTATTCCTGCACATTGTATCAAAGAAAGGTGACGATGAAGCTCATCTAACTAAGTAACGAGATCGAGAAGTGCTAGAAGTCGGCATGTGTGGTTTTACCTGGCAGCACTATCACTGATTCCTCTCTAGCCAGCTTGACGCAGAAGTCGACGTCATCTTCAATGTCGTCCAGTTTCGACAAGTTCAGCTTTACCATAACGAACATGGAACCCTCTGGTTTCATTGGGCAGGTAACACAAGGAATGTCTTGAAGCCTGTCATAACCTGTGTCCGCTGCCTTTTTCAACAAGCTTTTAATTTTCAAGAAGAAGTCCTCCTTCGTATTTTCGATTAGTTGTTGAACTCCACCCTAATAAACAAAAAACTCTTAGGACAAGGTTGCCAAAGTAAAGCTGAGCTCACAGTTTGAACATCAAACCTGAATGACAGTTGGAGGATCTGAGGAGATATCCAGATAGCCCTTGATCGTGTCAACCATCTTGCACAAAAATGAAGATCGAAAGTGTTAAAACAAACACAACCTTTAATCAGCTACACCGTAGACAAGAGCAAGCGATCGAGCAACAAAACCAACCCCAGTTTTGAGGAGGATTCCATTCGGATCAGTAGTCACAAGCCAACCAAGTCGCCAGCCAGGAACAATCCATCTCTTGGAGATTGACCCAAGTGTCAAGACAGGCACAATTGATCCAAACACACCCATTGGCACAAACTGCTTGCTACCAAACGTGAGATGTGCATATACTTCATCAGCAATCACCAGTATTCCAAGCTTTTTAGCTGTCTCTGCAACCTGGTATATTCCAACCAATATTCCTCGTATTATAAACCCTAAACCCAAATAGTAAAGAAGAATGGGAGATTGGGTTGCTTGACTCACTTTCTTTAGATGTTCGTAGCTGTAGACACATCCACATGGGTTTCCAGGGTTTACAACAACCATTGCAACAGTATTCTTGTCTGCCAGAGATTCAATAGCTTCAAGATCCACCTCCCACCCTCTTTCAGGAACCAGATCAAAGTGACGAACTTCAAGGCCACACACTGCAGCGCGTGATTCGTAGTAAGGGAAACCTGGCCTTGGGAACAAAATGTTTGCACCAGGTCGGGCGAGGACTGTTAATGCAACTTCAATTGCTTGAAGGCATCCAAGTGTGAGATAGACATCATCTTCAGATAACTTGTATGGGAGATCACGGTTAAGGTATTCTGCGACAGCCCTGTTTGGAGCGAGATGCATGAACTAATTCAATCCACCATGAAAATACAATGTACAGGAGTGATTGCTTTGGAAAGAGATAACGGTGGAAACCCAATACGATTCCAAGATTATTTACCATCTGGGGACTATCAGAATAAGACAACACACACAGTGTTCATCATTTTATCCCAGCACTAAAGGAAGCAAGGATAACACAAGTTCTGAAAGTGGGTTTTCTGAGTGAGTTACCTCCTCGCAGGAAGAATACCAACAGTAGGGGCATAGCAATTGAACTTGGCCGATCTAAAGGAATCAACCACCGCATCTTCGGCAGCTAAGGTGGTTCTGAAGCAGGGGAAAGCAGAAGGGTCGCCATGGCCGAGGGGTACTATAGATCTTTTGTCATCCTTATCGACCTTCCCCAATAGAGTGGTGAGAACACCACGTACGGTGATTTCAGAAGCAGCGGTGAGACCTCTGTTAGGCTTGAAACCCCATTTATCGAGCTCATTGTTCTCCGTCGCATAACCCTCCGTCCCCATCGGCGCTGAGTGATGAGAATTGGGTTGGCGGAGATAACAGAGCAGTGGTGTAGGGTTTTACATAGAGATCACCCTGCCTTTTCGATTATAAGTTAGGTTGGAATTATCGGGTGGTTTGCAATCGACTGAGCGCATTGGGTCGAAAGAGACGAAAGACACGACAAGAGAGATTGCAATATGTAAGCAAATTTGTCTGCAAGGGAAGTGCGCAAGTGATTCATTACTATGGTGGGGGACTTGGGATTTTGTTTGGGTCAAAAGCAGACTGAATTATCAATAGCACTCACTAACGTATCATACGTTTTCAACCACGGTTGTCAATAAGCTGGTCGAATTGACACCGACCTTGTATAAGAAATATGGGCACTAGGGGTTGGCAAATGGGTGGGTAATTCGCGAATTGATATGGATCCACCCGCAAATAATCCGATCCACATGTAGTGGGTGATTGATGTGGGTGGATTGCGAATTGATAAATCTCTCACCCGCACTTATGTGAATGAGTGGTGAGTGGATTGTGGGTCACCCGTATGACCCGCATCTGATTTGTACATGAAAAATGTTGTCTAATAGTATCGAATATTCATCATATTTTCGAACTGCACTACAGTCTGACCATATACTTCAAAAGGTGGAGAATAAAGAATAGTTTTGACTACTATTATTGGTTATTGTGTTGTGCAATATCCATTAGATATTGGATATTGGTATGCAAATTATTGTTAATATCCATTAAAGGGTTAATTGCATGGTTGGTCACTCAGATTACAAAAAACGTTCATGTTTGGTCACTCGAAATATTTAATTCCATTCATGGTCACTAAAATTAGTTAAAGAGTTCAAGTTTGGTCACTCTCCGTCCATCTCCGTTAACTTTTGCTTATGTGGCAGTCAACTCTTACAATTGACCGTTAAATGTGCCACGTGGCAATTTAAAAATTAATTAAAAATAATATTTAAAATTTTAAATTTCCAACTCATTATTCCAACTAATAAAAAATAAAAATTATAAAATACCTAATTTCTTTTCTTCTAATTTCCATGTTCGGATGAACCTCAACAGTCCCATCTCCTTCTTCCTTCCGCCACCGCCGCCAGCAGCACCACCGTTATCTCCGCCGCAGCCACCTCCACCACCACTGTCGGCAGCTCTCCCTCTTAGATCGGATCCCTTCACATCAACCCATGAGAAATTGAAAGCCCCAACTTCACAAATCTCTCTTTTCCTCTCTCAAATGCATTAAATTAATCAAAAGTGAAAAGTTCCCTCCTTGCACCTCTTCGCCATTAATTAAACATTTCATTGTCATCCCCGCCATAAATTTTCAATTGGGTTCCAAGAAGAAGGAGGAAAGGTTCCAGCTTTGAGCTGAATTTCGGTTTTTGGTTTTTCCCCCCTCTGGGTTTGTTGGAGAAAGAGAAATGGGGAATGTGACGTCGAACGTGGCGGCGAAATTCGCCTTCTTCCCGCCGGACCCGCCGACATCAAGACTGGATTTGATGAAAGTTTCTGGCTTTTCGATGAATTCTTGTCGAAATTAGAGTTGTTTCTGGTTTTGGGATGCTTGATTGTATTCCTTGTTCAAAGATTGGAGCTTTATGACCTTTGTTCTCTGTTGTTTCTCTATGCAGCTATGACTATTCATGCTATGGAGCATCTTCTGGAAACGCGCCGGTCGCCAGCGTCGTGAAGCTGAAGGTGGTTGACACATCAATTTGGTCGATGGCGAGCTCTGTCAGTGCCAGCTTCACGTTGCGAACTGCGGCAACCACGAACTGCGGCTAGGGCTGCTAAACGGTACGGTAACCGGTTTACCGTTTACCGTTTTACCGGTTTCGGTAATACCGGAATTGCAAAAACAGTCGCCGGCTGCCGACACCCTTCTCCACCCGGCATACCGTCTTACCGTTCGGTACGGTAACGGTAAGGGAAACGGATCCCGAATTACCGACAGTCACTTGGAATTGGCCAATTGAGACGGCCTGAATTTCATCAACGCGCGCGAGCCAACGCCATTGCAATTTCCAATTTGCAATGCTTCCTCCCGTTAGGCCTCTGTCCTTGTCTGGCTGCTGTCTCCCACTCTCCCTGTTGTCGGCTGTCCTTTCACAGATGACCTCGTCCTCATGACAGACCCCATTGCTTGAAGTTGCACCCACCATTATCAGCACTCAGCAGCATGGCCTCGTCCTCATCAATCATCAATCATCACCATTCAGGCATTCACCAACGCCACGTCGCCAGCCCACATGCCATCATTATTTATTCATTCCATTCCAAATTTCCAATCCACATGTCTAATTTACATGGCCAGTACAGACACCGGAGAAGGGACGTTTAGCGGGAGAAGATTACCTCTAAAGTTGACGGAGAGCCGGAGAAGGGACAGCGACGGTCTGACGGAGTTCAACGGACAGCGGAGCGGCGATGGGAGAAACTTGCCGGGAACAGAGCCTGGATTTGGGCTGTTGTCTGCTGGCTTCGACGGGGTTCGACGGCTGGCTTCGACCAACGACGATGAACAGGTTCGACGGGGTTCGACGGCTGCTTCGACGGGGTTCGAGTTCGACGGCTGGCTTCGACCAACGACGATGAACAGGGTTCGACGGCTGGCTTCGACGGGGTTCGAGTTCGACGGCTGGCTTCGACCAACGACGATGAACGGAGGAGGAGGGATCGGCGGTCGTTGACTCGTGGTTTGATTGGGATTTGGCTGGCTGGCTGGCTTAGATCGTTAGGGAATTAGCAATTAGGGCTTTTTAGTTTTTAGGGTGGGTGTTTACGGTGAAAATCAATTATGACGATCCGCATCCGCCGATGAAAACTCAATGTCCCATTCGGTGTCGGAATCCCGTTTTGCCGACGGTAAATTACAATGCCGGTCCCGGCATACCGCCAAGTGAAGAAGTCCCAGCCGCTTACCGTTTTACTCGATTACCGGTTTAACCGGTTACCGCGGTTACCGGTACGGTAACCGGTTAAACCGGCAACCGAGAACCCGTTTGGCAGCCCTAACTGCGGCAACCACGAACTGCGCATCGGCGTCGTCGCCAACATAGACGACGGAAACTCGCGTGCGGGGATAGAACGACACTACGTTGTGCCGGAGCCACTCTGCTGCGGAAGACGAAGATTCCGCCATTTCTTGAACCAGATGGTTCGGAACGGAGAGCAGCACGCTGGCCTCGGTGAAAGACAAGGCCCGCGTCAGGCTCGGTGTTGGATCCAGAATCCGCACCGAGCGGAATCCGAGAGCCACCACCGCTGAGGCGATGGTCTTCGGGAGGCGGGAGGTGCTGCGAGGACAGAGATGAACTGCGACTGGAATTCGCTGGGCGGCTGCGGTGGTAGTGCGGCGGCGGAGTAGGTAACTCCAACAGCATCAGGGTTTGGTCGGTAGGGTATGGAGATTAGAAGAAATTAGTTTTAATATTTTTATTTTTTTAATAATTGTGATAATGAAGTGGAAATTTTAAAAATTAAATTTTTTATTTTTTAATTGCCACGTCACACACTTAACGGTCAACTCTAATAGTTGACTGCCACATCAGACAAAATTAACAGAATTGGACGGAGAGTGACCAAATTTGAAATGTTTAAGTAATTTTAGTGACCATGAACGGAATTAAATATTTTTAGTGACCAAATTTGAACCTTTTTAGTAAATCCGGTGACCAACTATGCAATTAACCCATCCATTAAATATTGGGATGCAAAGTATAAATTATTAATTGTATCAAACTCATAAATTATTGATACAATCTTACTAATTTGTTATGAACTTATTATAAATGCTAGTCAACTTTCTTAATGGCTAGTTGGAGAATTGCTTTTGTGGGTAGACCCACGACCCAACCGCAGCCATCCGCCACCCACCCAACCCAATCAGCAGAAGTATGTGGGTGGATTGCGGGTCACAATTATTTCAACTCGCTAGTAAGCGGGTGGGTCAATTTGAAACCAAAACCCACCCAACCCGCCCATTGCCCACCCCTAATGGGCACCACACACTGCGATCCGTAAAAAGATTTTTGAGTTAGAAAGTCTCAGAATATTTTTTTTATCCATAAACCTGTATTGTTCCATTAAATGGTCTGCAATAGTATTAGGGATGGCAATTTGGGCCCGACCCGACGGATTTTACCCGACCTGGCCTGTGATGGGGCGGATAAAACTCGATCCGTGACAGGACATAGTGGATCTTGCCCCACCCCGCTAGGGATGGCAATGGGTCGGGTTGGGGCAGGTTTTGTCAAACCCAAACCCATGGGTTTATCCGCCAAAAAACCCGGGGTAAAACCCGCTGGGTTTGAAAAACTCAAACTCAACCCAACTCGTTGGGTATCCGCGGGTTCATGGGTACCCGTGGGTTTTTGTGGTAAAAAAATTACAATAACAAGTTTCTTTCAAAATAGAAGTTTAACATCAATTTTCTCATACAAATTATTCATACAAAAAGCACCAATTTAGAGCATACAAGCAAACCGCAAATGATCAATACAAATTGTTCAAAATTAAAGATAAACATCTATAAACAATAAGATTAATTGAAAGCTTCTTCCTCGTCAATTAAGTTTCTTCACTCTCCACTTCATAATATCAACTTCATTCTAAACAATTAGAAAGAACAAATTATACTTGCTCCACGAACATAAAGTATTAGTTGTTTAAGTAAGATATATTATTTAGAATATTAAATATACCAGGAAAGTAATTATATGTGTGTGGGCGGGTACCCATGGGGCGGGTTTACCTAAACCCAAACCCAACTCGACCCAGTGAATAGTGTACAGGTTTAAACCCGAACCCGGCCCAAAACCCGTCAACACGGATTTTACTCGCGTTGACCGGGTTGGGTCGGGTGGGTACCCGTGGGTTCGGGTTTTGTTGCCATCCCTACACCCCGCAGCTTGAACAGAGCGGGCATGGGTACTGATGATGCTCTGCCCCGCTTAATATCCATTTGTGGCGTGCGTGCAAGGGCTGCCTCTGCCTCCGATAAAAATCAGCTTCATCTACCCTAGCAATTTCGAGTTCCCAAAATTGAAATTCTCCATCACCTTCCGACTTCCCAAAATTCCCTATCATCTTCCGACTTCCCAAATTCCCAATCATCTTCCAACTTTTCCCTCTGTCATCAATAAATCCATTAGATTCCCCATAAACTAGAGGCTTCTTAACTTATATTATGGCCGTTGTGGAGAATGTTT